CACACATAGATACTTATCTATAAACAAGTTGTTTCATCCACAGTCACTTTTCATTCTCTTTTGCATCAGAGACATATATAACACACATATGTCTCTGCTTGCATGTACACACATACATGTTTCTGTATAAACAAATTGTTTCATACATAGTTACTATTCATTCTCCCTTGCAGATACACACATACATATTTATGTAAAGACAAATTGTTTCATATACGGTCAATATTTAAGTACTTAAACACCACTAACACCCTCACTCATACATACTCTCACCCATCAACACATACACCCTCACACATACCTTCGCACACAGACAGACATACACTCAGACAGACAGACAGACAGACTAGACCAGATCAGACCAGACCAAACCAGACCAGACTGATAAACAATATATTTGCATATAGTCATAGGAATGTATACATACAAAATAAGATAATATTGAGCTTGTTATTTAAGCCTGTACTTCTTCGCTGATAAAAAATAAAAAACAAAAAAGAAACAGCTTCATTCAGGTGCAGCCTGATCAATTTAACTTCGACTGAGCTATCAACAAGATGTAGTCAGCATGGAAGTGCTTACACACTCATTGTATTGTTTTTTTTTAAGTTTTTTCAAAAGGAAGAAGAAAAAGAAAGAGAGAGAGAAAAGACTATATACATACGTAACAACATGATATTTAGTGGTTGGGATGGCAAACAACAATAAAAAAAATTAAAAAAATAGTTCTGTTTTAATTATATATATTTTCATCTTTTTGTGTGTGTGCAAGGCTACTAAGGTTATTTATTGGATGCTAAGGAGCTGCAGATGTGACTTGAATAAACTGCTGTCAAATATGGATTTTTGCCACTGATGCTATGAGTTACAACTTGATAAGACCATCCCATTTTCTCCGTTCGTTTTCAAATTTTTTCTTTGCTTTATCATCTTTACCATTTGTTATGTATTTTTGAACTGTATAAGTGTCCTTTATTATATTTATTAATGCATTTAAACTTAAAGAGCTATGAAGACATTTTGTTTTGTATACATACTGTTTTATTAATAAAATAATTTCATTATCAACTCGGTTGCTGGGTAAGAATTTATCAAAAATAATTCCAAAAAGAAAAGATTTCTTGTTAAAAGAAAAGGGAATATAAAGAATATTTAACAATGATTCAAAGCTTTGCAATAGTTTTTGTACTTCTTGACATTCCCACATTATATGGATAATAGTTTCAGGTTCTTAGTTACAGAATGTACAGAGAGGGGAGATAACTGTTCTGATTTTAAACAAAAAAACATTAGTAGTCAGAATGTGGTGAATAACTCTGTATTGGAACCACATAAGTTTTGTATTAGTGGTGACTTTTAATGGCATCTTGTAACAGTTCTCCCATGTTTGTTTGTCAATGTCTTCAAATGATGTATTCCATTTTCTGGTTCCTGATGAAATCAGTTTAGACTTAATTAATGCTTCATAGAAAATTTTTGAGCCTTTACTGTCTTTAAGAAAAGGATCTAAATTAGCAGGAATGTAAGGATAAGATAGTGTGGGTAAAGGAAAATGTGTATTGTGGGAAGAAATAAATTTCTTCACTGAGGACAGAAGACTCTGATATTTCAGGAAGTTTGTATTTACATTATATTTTTGAATAAATTCACCAAATGAGTAGAAAACTCCAGTGTTTGTGTCTTTAACTAAATCATTAATTACAAAAATATTTTTGCTATAAAATTCCTTATAAAGCACTGATAAACCAGCTATCTTTATCTCTTCATTGTACCACAAAGGTGTTTTTAGTATCTGTTCTTGATGAATATTATTGTAGTATTTACTATTAAAGAGATGAAATATTTTGAAAACGTCTTTCCAAAAATCATTTCTACAATTCTTACTACAATTCTCAGCGTACTCGCTCCCACAATTTGCAAAAAGACCCATATTAATGTAACATTTCACAATATACTGCCATTTAGCCGTGGTTTGGAAAAGTCTTCTTATCCAAGTTAACTTTAAGGAATTACAAAAGACTAAAACATCAACCATTTTCAAACCTCCATTTACATAATTCTGCACAATTATCTCCCTTTTAATTTTATCAGGTCCCCCATTCCATTGATATTCAAAAAACATAGAATTAAGCTTAGCAAAAAAGGCATTATCAGGATTAGGTAAAGAAATGAAAAGATGAGTAAACTAAGATATAAGTAGCGACTTAATTATATTAATTTTTCCAATCGGAGTCAATGACCTTCTCTTCCATGTAGTTAGCAATGATTTTAGTTTTATTAGTTTTTTGTCAAAATTAAGTTTTGGTATCTCATGGAGATTCACACTAAATTCTATCCCTAATAAGGTAAATTTTCTCCTACCCCACTGCAAATTGTATTCTGGTAAAAAACTGTCATCACTAAATTTTTTATTCCCAATCCATATAACCTGGGTCTTATCAACATTTACTTTTAAACATGAAAACTTTGCAAATATATTTAGCTCTTTAATTGATTCTTTTAGCGAGTTTTTTTATCCATCAAGTATTAGTGAAGTATCATCTGCGTATTGTGATAATAGAAGTGGACAATTTTCAATTTCAATCCCCTTAATGTTAAAATTTTTCCTAATTCTAATTGCCAAAATCTCTGCACAAAGTATAAATAGATATGGTGCGATTGGGTCCCCCTGTCTGCAGCCCCTCTCAATATTGAAGAAAGAAGAAAGATTACCCCCCTGATTTACAGCTGATTGAGCATTTTTGTGTAACGTGTTAAACCAATTAATTATACTATTACCAAAACCAAAGAAAATAAGAACTTTTTCAATGAAAGACCAAGATATTGAGTCAAAACGCTTTTGCAAAATCTATCATGAGCAACATGCCAGGTAAATCATGCTCCTCTGTGTATTTCATAATGTCATATATTAGTCTAGTATTGATGCCTATGTATCTACCAGAAAGGAAGCCAGTTTGATCGTCATTAATTAATTTACTAAGAACAGTTTTTAATCTATTGGCAATTGAACCCGAAGCAATTTTATATACTACATTCAATAAAGATGTAGGTCTCCAATTTTTAATGAAGTGTCTGGGTTTGTCTGCCTTTGGTATACATGTAATTAAACCTTGTCTTTGTGTAATAGATAATTGTCCTGTACAATATCCAAAATTAATTGATCTAACAATGAATTCCCCTAATTTTCCCCAAAAACATTTAAAAAATTCTGCTGTGAAGCCGTCCGAACCAGGGCTTTTGTTGTTTTTCATTAGTTTTAAAGTATTCCCAGCTTCTTTATAAGTTATCTCCCCTTCTAAGTGATTTGCTTCAGATTGTGTCAATTTAGGTATATCATTGAAATTTATATAATCATTTAGGTTAATATTTTCCATATCATCTATATTGTGCCCTCCTCCATAGAGACCTTTGTAAAATGTATATACCTCTCCTAAAACCTCCTCTTGTTGTGTTAGTAACTCATTATTATCAGAAAGTCACTTAGGTATTATTTTAGAAGTGTAATTACGATTTTCTAAACCAAAGAAATAGCTAGATGGTTTTTCGCCCTCTTCTACCCACTTTATCTATACTTAAGGGGTCACCATCATACCCTATTCAGGAGTCTGGACATTACCACTATTTAATGTCTTTATCTATTCTTAAGGGGTCATCATCATACCCTATTCAGGAATCTGGACCCTACCACTATTTAATGTCTTTATCTATTCTTAAGGGGTCATCATCATACCCTATTCAGGAGTCTGGACCCTACCACTATTTAATGTCTTTATCTATTCTTAAGGGGTCATCATCATACCCTATTCAGGAGTCTGGACCCTACCACTATTTAACCTCTTTATCTACACTTAAGGGGTCACCATCATACCCTATTCAGGAATCTGGACCCTACCACTATTTAATGTCTTTATCTATTCTTAAGGGGTCATCATCATACCCTATTCAGGAGTCTGGACATTACCACTATTTAATGTCTTTATCTATTCTTAAGGGGTCATCATCATACCCTATTCAGGAATCTGGACCCTACCACTATTTAATGTCTTTATCTATTCTTAAGGGGTCATCATCATACCCTATTCAGGAGTCTGGACATTACCACTATTTAATGTCTTTATCTATTCTTAAGGGGTCACCATCATACCCTATTCAGGAATCTGGACCCTACCACTATTTAATGTCTTTATCTATTCTTAAGGGGTCATCATCATACCCTATTCAGGAGTCTGGACATTACCACTATTTAATGTCTTTATCTATTCTTAAGGGGTCATCATCATACCCTATTCAGGAGTCTGGACCCTACCACTATTTAACATCTTTATACTTAAGGGTTCACCATCATACCCTATTCAGGAGTCTGGACCCTACCACTATTTAATGTCTTTATCTATTCTTAAGGGGTCATCATCATACCCTATTCAGGAGTCTGGACCCTACCACTATTTAAGGTCTTTATCTACACTTAAGGGGTCACCATCATACCCTATTCAGGAGTCTGGACCCTACCACTATTTAGCTTACAGTAAGCTCAACAAATCAGACAGTACATCCTTCCAAGGTTAAAAGTGTCCTCTGACAGTGAGTCAGATCATTTCAACTTTAGCAAACTTGAAAGGCTTTCTTGCCCATGATAGATAATGAGTACGTTGTCATCTAATGAAGCTGATACAAACCTTAAAGTGAGTAGAAGCTGGTACAAAGTATATGTCCCAGGTAAATATTTAGGACAAATTCTTTGCAGTTTCACATGGAATTATATTCAAGCTTCTCTGTGAAGAAACTCTCTTGAAGAAAATTTGGCCTTCATAACAACAATGGAGTAAAGAAAGTCCAGAAAGTTCAGCACCTATTTCACTGTCAGTGCCATTGCTATTAGATTGACATTCAGACAATCAATTTAATTAACTAGCAAACATGTATTTGATCATGTAAAGAAAAATATACAACTGAAGATCATTTTGGCAGTTTTTATATAAATCTGTTTTTTTTTTGCTTTTTTTTACAAAATACATGCGATAGAATGTGGAGAATAGTATCAATGTTACTCTTTCAAATATAGAAACATTGAAAAGTTGTTGAGATAAATAAAACACAGCACATACATGATATAGCCATTATTTTTAGTATCTCAACTAACTGTATGTAAAAATAAGGATCAAGATATGTATGGTATGTTTAACAGGAGAATCCATACCGCGTTCCTAAATGAGAAGGTGATACGTCCCACACAAGTGATTACATTAGTGTAAAAACATATGTGACATTGTGTTGTTACACCTTGTCATTATTAGATACTGGAATCACAGAATGAGACCAAGTAATTGGGTGATGTTGACTGGAAGATGTATGCATCTGTCAATCAATATCATATAATTACAAATAGGTATCTATGTCCAGTACATCATGACACAAAAATTTCTGTGAACTTGAACAATTTCAAATACTGAAAATTTGAAACGATGGGAAAAAATCCTTTAACTCCACCTTAGTATGCACATTTTTTTTTTCCAAACTGGCTATTTAATCACCAAGTGTGGAGTCAAAGTCATAATACTGGTAACTGCCCCATCACTTAGAGTGGAGATCAAGTCACAATATTTGTTGCTACACTCATCACTCTGTGTGGAAATCAAGTCACAGTATTGGTGACTGCCCCATCACTCAGTGTGGAGAACAAGTCACAGTACTGATGACTACACCATCACTCAGTGTATAGAACAAGTCAAAGTACTGATGACTGCCCCATCACTCAGTTTGGAGATCAAGTCACAGTATTGGTGACTGCCCCATCACTCAGTGTGGAGAACAAATCACAGTATTGGTGACTACACCATCACTCAGTGTGGAGATCAAGTCACAATATTGGTGACTACACCATCCTGCTGTGTGGAGATCAAGTCACAGTACTTGTGGCTACACCATCACTCAGTGTGGAGAACAAGTCACAGTATTGGCGACTACACCATCACTCGGTGTGGAGAACAAGTCACAGTATTGGTGACTACACCATCATTCAGTGTGGAGATCAAGTCACAATATTGGTGACTACACCATCCTGCTGTGTGGAGATCAAGTCACAGTATTTGTGGCTACACCATCACTCTGTGCGGAGAACAAGTCAAAGTACTGATGACTACACCATCACTCAGTGTGGAGAACAAGTCACAGTATTGGTGACTACACCATCACTCTGTGCGGAGAACAAGTCAAAGTACTGATGACTGCCCCATCACTCAGTGTGGAGAACAAGTCACTGTATTGGTGACTACACCATCACTCAGTGTGGAGATCAAGTCACAATATTGGTGACTACACCATCCTGCTGAGTGGAGATCAAGTCACAGTATTTGTGGCTACACCATCACTCAGTGTTGAGAACAAGTCACAGTATTGGCGACTACACCATCACTCGGTGTGGAGATCAAGTCACAATATTGGTGACTACACCATCCCACTGTGCAGAGATCAAGTCATAATACTGGTGACTACACCATCACACTGTGCAGAGATCAAGTCATGACTTTCTGAAGGCTATAAAAGATATTTGTACAACTCCTGGTGAATATAGACCAATCTTCATATGCAAGGACTTGACATGAATTAAATTCTCAACCTAATGATCCATATATATGTTTTATATGTACAACAATACCTATAAAAATTTAGGTCTTTGGCATTAGCTCTGAAGAAATGAATACTAAATAAATACCAAATATAAAATAGGATCAAACCATATCAATTTGGTATTACTCTGCTATTTAAGCCTATCTGCTTTGATCAGACCAGTTGTCATAACATTATAATATGCTTTGCTGCAGAAATGGTAACTTAATAATACTATTTAATTTTAAGTATGAAATGCTTTATGTTAGAAAATGCTATGCTAAGCTGACCCTTTTTCATTTACTGATAATGTCATATTGACAATCTAGAACTGTTGAGTAAGGAATTGGTGTCAAATCCCTGCATCTTCAAATTTAGTCTTTTGTCAGTATTAAAATAAGTTACTTCAAAATTAATCCACGATGTACATAACTTCATTGAATCATGCTTCATAATTGAAACAAATATTTGTAATTGTCACATATCGTAAACAGACATATATATAAAACAATTTCTATGTAATTTATTGCTGTCCAACAATAGATCCATTTCACAACATGATTGTAATTTTGTTAGCTGTAGCATATGCAAATTATACCCAATAGCTATATATAGCGATACAATGTACAAACCATACATTACACTCAGTATATCTTACACCAAGTTGCATTGATGTAGGGCAACAAATTTGACAATACAGGGTTTTCCATAATTTTGTTAGTAGTAGGCTGTGTTGTGAAAGTAGGAGGCTGGCCTGCCGTGTACGTGTAGTCTTGTACGGAACATTATTACAGAAGTGGATTGGTGTAGGCGGCCAAATTATCAAAGTAGCTGGTCAAATTGGCCGGCGACCGGCTCTTACGGAAAACCCTGCAATATCTATACATATTATTACTGAATGCAAGAAGAATAGCTGAAGAGTGTTTCTGAATTAACATTTTTTTTAAAAACCATAATGTTATGAATTTTAGATTTTTTATAGTACTTCATTCTGTTTTATCAAAAAGGTCTTAAAAGCTTTTCATACATTATTTATCCATACATAAAATAAAAATAAAATGAGCAGGATTCACATGAACATACCCCAATACAAAAGCGTCTTAAAAAACTGAAGGATTTTAGAGCCCTTTGACACCTTTTCTCTGACTAATTAAAACCAAAACAGGTTGAGGTGTGAAAGTTGTTATCAGATTGTATGGCAATGGTGTCACTGTGTGAATATGTGCTACATCCATTGAGAAGTTCTCAATTTCTTGCATGATACTTAATCCTGTGACTCTTAACCTTGACCTATCAAATCATATGTAGAATATAATCATTTAATTGATATGATACCAGGATGTAAATCTGAACTTAATCCCTTGTATGTAGGATTCACACAAATGTCTACAGTTTCAAAATTATCAATAAAGAGTGACTTTTTTCAACCATCTTACTACCAGTACATGGACTGATGATCAGGATCAGTTGACCATTTGATCAATCAAAAATCAAGAGGAAACTTTCCAAGACTTTATAAAAAAGGATAAAGATTCCTACATGAATTTCATAAATGTCAAATGACATCACAATGGAAACTATGAACCTTTAGCCAATCAGAGCTCCATTACGTCAATTTACATATACATATTAACAAAAATTTATGCAATTACACTGATAACAGAGAAGTTAAGTGAAAAACAGTTTTTTACCATGGACGGACTAGTTTTTTAATGCACAGATGCATACCTATTCAAATACATAGTGGGCTATAACATTGAATAATTGAAAATGAAATATTTAGTATAATTTGTAATGCCCAGTTTTACAACATCTTTACCCAAATATGATGTGAAATGGATCTATTGGGAATGCAAAGAAACATTAATGTACATGTCAATTCTAACATGAACTGTTACTTAATATAAACTATTAAATCACATTATCAACCCTTGAACCAATGATTCACTTAATTTGTCATGACCTTGGCTAAAGATAGATTGTAAATGACAGAAAATAAAAATATATATATTCTCAAATTTGTTCTTTATAATGCACCAATGGAGTTGTCATTTGTTATAAATATATTTAAGTCCTTATCATTTCTTATGCCAAAGGCCTAAATTCAGTGTTGACAGAGTACGCAACTGCATGATCCTTTCAAGGCCTACTGTTGTGATTCTGGTACACCCATATAAGTCTATAGATTCAAGATTTTTAAGGTGATCAGCCACCAAGCCTAAACTTCTGTCTGTGATTCTTACACACTGGCCAATGTTTAAAGTTGTTAAATCATGCAGAGAATTCACAAGACGGTCCATGCCATCATCACTTATGTTACAGGCACTAAGACACAATCTCCGCAAACTGTAAAATCCTTGAGCAAGAAACACCAACCCTTGATCACCGATCTTGTCGCAGAAACTGACATCTAACGCTACAATCCTGGCTGTACCTTCCGACAGATACCCAAGACCAGTGTCACTTACATTATCACAGCTTCGCAGGTTGAGTTCCTTTAAACTAGGCATTTTGGCAAGAAATTTCAACCCAGAGTCTGTGACACTCGCACAGAAACTGAGATTAATAGTCTTGAGATTCAGTAGGCCAGAACTGACATGCCTCAAGGCTTGGTCAGTGAGCTTTTGACAGTCTTGTAGTCCAAGGTGTTCGAGTTCTAAAGTGCCAGATGCTGCATGGGGACTCAATCCTGCAAGATGCCCAATTCCAACATCCGAAACATGACGACAACTCCTTAGATTTAAAGATTTTAACTTCCTTAAACCCCATGCTATCAGAAGGAGACCTGTATTTGTGATGTTACAACATCCACCGAGCTCTAACAGTTCCAAGTTTTTCAAACTTTGGGCGATTCGCCCAAGGCTACTGTCCGTCAGTTGTTTACACAGACTTAGATTTAGCTCGGTTATGCTCGGCAAATCTTGTGAAAAGGCATGCCCAAGACCGATATCCGTTAATGTAAAACATCCGCTAAGATTCAGAGTTTCAATATTTGGAATCCCACATATCACATCACGTAATAAGCTACGTCGCAAGCTTAAAATTTGCACTCGTTTAATACCACGTTTCACAAGACTTGGAAACAAAGAGGGGTTCGCTCGACGAAGGTGTAGTTTAGCGTCGATTCCTCGCCAAACTCTACGACTATATGCTGCATCTCGCCATGCGGTGCAAACCTGTGCTACTCTCCCCTTGTCTTTCACATCAAGATAGCTGAAAATAATTGTCAATACCTCTGGAAACAGACAGGAAATGTGAGCAGCGGGCACTAAGCCCCAGCCCCTGGCCTCCATTTTGCATGGTTGCTGTATGTCACGTGATAGCATAATACAGTGCAGAGCTGAAGACAACACTGCTCATTGATTGGACAATATTAGTATAAACCCGGGACATACGATTTATTTATGGGTGAACTTAGTTAAATCAGAGATCAACCTGCATAGGTCTGTAATTGAATTTCCATGTTAAAATCTGAATAGTTAAGGCGCATGTTTTCTTAAATCAAGATATGTATCTTTGTATATATAAAACATACTATTTCAAAAGATTAAAATATGAATTTTCAAATTTTTTTTTATGGTCTTCTACCCCTAATGTATAATGTATATTTTTTAGTATACTGAACTAAGTGACAACAGTCTGATTATCTATAAAGAGTATGAAGACAATACATTTTTTTGGATAAGAATAAATTAGCTAATGCTTGTATTTTAATTATTCTTAACTCCTACAAACATCATATACACCACTTGTAACAGACACGTATATATATTGTATCATTTACGTCTCTGCTCAGAGGTAGACCAAATGTGACATTGGAAAGAACAAATGTAAAACTAACATTCCCATTCATGATCAGAAAGTAATGATACACTTTTTTCCATATTCAACATTACAGTAAATGGTACATTTTCCCTGTATTGATCGGTATGATTTGTAACAAATACCTGACCTACGACCGTAAGATAATGAAAGGTACTGTAATGTTTAGATTTCCCATTGAGTTCTGGTTGATAAACCTTATCATTAAACAAACTGCTCTCCAATTTACAGTTCAATATCCCTATTCGTATAGAGTAAACATAAACGAAATTATGACGTAATGACAGCGGCATGATAAGGCCACAAGGTTGTACCGATCTGGACTTATAAACCTGGTATTGTTTCACTTGTGAAATCGTGCAGAGAACTAAGAGACAAACTGATGTGACACAAGAAAATTACCTGTTCAGTAAATATCGACACAGGATCCACAGTGACTGTAGATCTTGCACCACACACGCAGACCGTCTGTTTATCTGCTTTTCAAACTATTTGATTAAAAAAAACCCTGCGGATTGGAAATCACCAGGGACAAAAAGGTGTGTACACTTAATCAAAAGTGTATCCCCTAGATCTGGAACGATAAGATATTTTTTATATTTGTTAAAGGGCGTATCCTCAGTTGTCTGGAGCATGAAGCTAACTATACATTTACTCAAGAGTGTATTCCCAAGATCTAGAAGAGGTAATTACTGATACATATTTACTCAAAAATATATCCTCCGATATCTAGAACCAGTAAATACCACTACATAAACTAAGGATTGTATACCCTAAGATTTGGAAGAAGTTACTATCTATATATTTACTCGCGAATGTACTACCTGTACATTTACTCATAAGTGTATTCTCAAGGAACAAGAACAAGTGACATTCTATACATTAACGAAGGAGCGCATCCCATTAAATTAACTCAGAAGTGTGTCCCCTGAGATTAACTCACGGGAGTGTATAACTTTAGATGGACTCAGGAGTGTAACCCTTAAGATCTGGAAAAAAGTAAACAATGAATCAATTGAAAGAATCTGATTATTTGTTTAGCAAACAGAACTTCATATTGCTGACGTTCACATAATTAATAGTGATCTGTGGCAGAGTGCCCCATGTACTATTTTTTTCCTCCCACAGTAAGGTCATATATTACTAGGTATGTGTATGTAAACAGATGAGCTGTAAAGCTCAATGGAATAACATAATTTCAAATTTAATGTGGTTCAACAATTGAGGCTAGAACAGCATTGAAGCGAACAGCAACAATTAGGACAAAGAGATGTTCGTGTATAGTATAATCATTCACTTAGATCAATATCTCAGTCCATGGTATGATATAGAGGTATAAAAAAAAAGATCCAGTGGTGACTTCTCTGGTGTTAGCTTTTGTGGTTGTTCATTGAGCCCTCCCCCTCTTCTTACTGTTCTTATATAATTAATCTTATCTACCTGTGCTCCGGAAAGCAATAGCCATTTTGTAAAGTGATAAGGTAGCTTGGACAATATGATTGGAAAGGTTTTCAAGAAGAGATAAAAAAAAAACAAGTGTTAATTATAATTTCACCTGCACCAAACTAACCATTAACTATAGTCCGGCGTGTGGGGTCAGAAATTAAGGATGTGTTTGGATCATACTAGAAACATTCTATCAATCGACCATTGCTCAGAGGGAAGTCGTTGATTCCTACTGATATTGAAAAACCATATCAGAATCTAGTTTCATTGTCTATTTAATTGGCTTTATTTACAAAAGCTAAGACAGTATCAGCAAATAAAAAAAGAAAAGAATAGTGTCAGAAGTGGGATTCGAACCCACGCCCACATACGTGGACCAGAACACTCGTCCCTCTTGCAAGGGAAGTGGTATTAGCACTTGAGTCTGGCGCCTTAGACCGCTCGGCCATCCTGACTTATGTCTATGTGGTAGTTATCATACTTCATAAACTCTTTACCATCAATTGAGGAGGAAAGCTTTGGAAATATTGATATTCTGCATTTTTAGATGTATACTTGTTATTTCTTATTTGGTATATACTCAGTTTTATGAAGGTGAGCGAAATGAGCTGTTATTCTTTGTTTTATTATACTGCTACATTTACTCATCAATAAACGTCACTTCCGCAATCAACAGAACCATGTGTGTAGGATATCGCAAACAGGTACAGTTGATATTAGCCTATTAAGGTAATTAAATGTTCAGTTGTTATGAAATAAACATTCGCTCAAACTGGATGAAATATGGTCGTTTCAGGGATCTACTTACAGGTGTTCAACGTAGTTCGGCATGGTGTATAGTTTGCAGGACACAGGCGCTTGTAACACAATCGATAGGCCTATACACAGGGGTTCGTTACAAATAGGATATGTATATGAGTTGGCTGACTAGATTCTACAATGCCTATCATGAAACTTGTCATTAAAAAGTATTTTCTAAAGAAACCTTTTTTATTGATGCTGAGTAGAATCGACTGTCAGTCAGTTGTCACATGTGTCTCTTGACTTTTGGAAAAGCCATGTCACAAGGGAGAGAGAACATCGGCTGAACATGCCAAGTCATCATGGAGAGTACTGATATCAATACATTATCATACTGAGACAGCTTTAGACGTATAAGAGATAAAGTGATTCCAGAAAAGTCATTGCCTTCTGTGAATCTTATATGCCAGCATTGCAATGAGATTTTTGGGGCAAATAAACTACTTATATGCATCCAATAGATAACATGGCTTTTGATTGGACAACAGATATTAACCACAGTATACATACTGCATAAAGAATTTAATATAAATAAGAGTTTAACTATGAAGTTGAACGATGTATAGTTTAATTGATGTTCAACATTTTCTGCTGGAAATATTTCAGGTATTACATTAACCAAAATCAAGATGGCTGAACAGGAACCAGCAGTGAAAAAGATGAAGCTGGCTGTCAAAAGTGATGGAAACAGTGCTGTAACAGTGCTTTCAAAAGATGTCATCAAGCCAGACGATATGGAAATTCTGAAAGAAGAAATGGAAGAAATGGAACATTTTAAAGAGACAGATGTGGGAATATTGGCCTTCATCAGTGACTTACCTGGTTTCCAGGGTATAATTAAGCAAAGGTAAAAGGGTATAGGCTATGGTCTAAACAGGATAATATGGGAATAGAAATATTTGGCTGGTTTAGATAGGTATATGGTTTACACAGCATAGAACTAACAACAGTTCCTCAAGTTCTACCAAGTCATGACCACATTAGATGTTTAGATAGGTATCTGGTTTACACAGCATAGAACTAACAACAGTTCCTCAAGTTCTACCAAGTCATGACCACATTAGATGTTTAGATAGGTATCTGGTTTACACAGCATAGAACTAACAACAGTTCCTCAAGTTCTACCAAGTCATGACCACATTAGATGTTTAGAGGTATCTGGTTTACACAGCATAGAACTAACAACAGTTCCTCAAGTTCTACCAAGTCATGACCACATTAGATGTTTAGATAGGTGTCTGGTTTACACAGCATAGAACTAACAACAGTTCCTCAAGTTCTACCAAGTCATGACCACATTAGATGTTTAGATAGGTATCTGGTTTACACAGCATAGAACTAACAACAGTTCCTCAAGTTCTACCAAGTCATGACCACATTAGATGTTTAGATAGGTATCTGGTTTACACAGCATAGAACTAACAACAGTTCCTCAAGTTCTACCAAGTCATGACCACATTAGATGTTTAGATAGGTATCTGGTTTACACAGCATAGAACTAACAACAGTTCCTCAAGTTCTACCAAGTCATGACCACATTAGATGTTTAGATAGGTATCTGGTTTACACAGCATAGAACTAACAACAGTTCCTCAAGTTCTACCAAGTCATGACCACATTAGATGTTTAGATAGGTATCTGGTTTACACAGCATAGAACTAACAACAGTTCCTCAAGTTCTACCAAGTCATGACCACATTAGATGTTTAGATAGGTGTCTGGTTTACACAGCATAGAACTAACAACAGTTCCTCAAGTTCTACCAAGTCATGACCACATTAGATGTTTAGATAGGTGTCTGGTTTACACAGCATAGAACTAACAACAGTTCCTCAAGTTCTACCAAGTCATGACCACATTAGATGTTTAGATAGGTGTCTGGTTTACACAGGATAGAACTTAAAATAGTTCCTTTTGTAACCGCGTGGTCTGTAGACACTAGGCAAACCCGGTTGTTGTAAATATCAGTGAGTTCTTTATTACACATATGGTACATATCAAATATAAAGCAGCATAATATCTTAGGCATACAGCAGACAATACAGACGAGCAGACGATTATCACTGACTAGTGAATGGACAGTAGCAGATAGTAGAAGACACTCTGTGTGTGGCACAGGGCCCTACATGACGTACAATAAAGACAAACCAAATAATACCAACTTCAATTTAACTACTAAACTTACATAAAATACTTTAGATTCCAAGGAAATTACAAAGTTCCATAATATTTTAAATAGACCAAATGAAGTGTTACAAGCAACTGCATTATAACCATCTAAACCAACTTTGCAATGTCATATAAAATAACAATAGAAAATAACTTACTTTGAAACAGAATCAGATCCCTTCACAATATGGAAAAGACTAGTGAACACCCTGACACTTGTCACACCTGTCCTGGAGGGGGATGTGTAAACCTGGTAAAATGCTAGCCACAATATACCACTTGGCTAGAGAGAACTTCTCTTTAGCTCGATTGGTTGAGCGTCAGACTAGTAAGCCAGGGTTCGATTCCTAGCGGAGGCATTGAGATGGAAAAATGACCTCTGTTACACTTTATTTCTACCAAGTCATGACCACATTAGATGTTTAGATAGGTTTACACAGGATAGAACTTAAAACTTAAATACTACCAAACTATGGCTACATTAGTCATTTAGATAGGTATCTGGTTTACACAGGACAGAACTTCCAACATAGTCCCTTAAATTCTACCAATCCATAACCACACTGGTTACTACTCGTACAGTGTGGTGATGTTATCCTGTACAGTTGTTTAGTGATGGTTCCTTAATATAAGGGATCACCTTTTTGAATTGTCAGCAAATCTTCAGATTTTTCACTTACTGCTTCTCAAACCTGTTCATAGATGGTCTTTAAGATGTGTTTTTTTTTTCAAAAATGTGAATTTCATGATTCCACATTTTAACATTTGGCCTTGTTGAGACACTATTTAATTTTACTACACGGGATAGTTTATATAGGAAAGCAACTTGTTTGAGTATATTTTGTTCAATTTCTGTTTGAAATGATTTAACTTTTGTTACATTCATTAGGTTGGTGTGTATATTTTGACCCTTGGGACCCAATTAATGTATATATAGGGGTCAAATTGCTGAAATTTTTTCTCTTCAGACCCAGATTTAGTACAATGAAAAACTACACAGAGGAAGATTCTTAAAGTGTTTTGTAAATTGTGTTATTTTTGACAGATTCTTGGTGAGGTATGATATAGATATGGCCTTTCTCCAATATGATAATGCAGGATAAAGTTTAAGTTATCATATTTTACATGCATTGTGATTTTTAAGCTGTATCACAATAACAAAAATGACAGTATTTATATAACTCAGAAGGCCCTTGATCCTCTCTTTACTCCAGATTCTCCGATTTCATTGTAAATGAAGTGAATGAAAATGGAGAGGTGGTTCACTTGACTGCCACTTCAGCTAAGACAGAACCTAACTTGGAGACTGACAAAACTGTAAATCTCCCATCAACTGAAGTTCAGGTGAGTGTGCAGTCTGACATACTGATAACGATCGTTGCTTGTTTCTCAGTTTCTTTGCCCTTTATCCCTTGTTACTTTTTGCAATTTGATGTTGTCTCTGCTCTGTAATTAGTATTGTATATATATGTGTCATGTTTGGTTAATTTTTGGATATGAAGGAGCCCGAAGAGGCAGGAAAGCCTGTTGAACAAACACCTGTCAAATGCAGCCAGCTCCCTGATGCTGAAGTTGATGAACTCAACAAACTTCTGGTTTCTACAGACAAATCTTTTACTGTCACACTTCAGGTAAAGTACTGCATCAAATTGGAGATCTTGATGATTCAAAGTAGTGTAGATGTAGATAGAATAGAATTGTGGAACCTGAGGATCCAATGTAGATTTTGTGTTGATTTAGTGGAGTTTACAAAAAGTAATGTCATGGATTCTTTTTTATAGGCAGAGGCAGGGAGGGGGTTGGTGGGTGGGGGGAGGAGGGGAGAGGAGGAGGGAACTATTGCTAAATATTTTTGGGTAAGCAGATACCGGTATTTTCCCATCATATTAATGTGAAAAAAGGGTAAACAATTCTTTTTACAACATATCCTTCAATGATTGTTACATGAATTTGAAACATTAACAAAATATTTTTATTTAAATATGTTGAAATTATTTGTAAGAGATTTCAAGTAGTAAACATATCTGTGTAAAGAAAGACGAGTTGTATATTATTGATTTGCTGAAACTGCATTTATCCATCAGGATTTGAACATCCTTTGGTATTGACTCCTTCATTATTGGCTTAGCAAGCTTCCACTGAGTTTTTATCAGTCATATCTACATGGTATATTTATATTTAGTGATGTTTTTGACCAGTAGGCAAGTGATGACAAGGAGAAAAGGTGTCAGATTCACAGATCCATTAGGATGAACTTTCCTAACCTGGAAAGTACCACCCTGGAGGTGGACGGAAAGAAGGTTATACAAGTCAAGAAAATCCCTGCATCAAAGAAAGGTATTCATGTCACACCTCAGTGTTGTCTCACTAAATAAATGTGAAAGATATTGCTGAGAAATCAGGTAGGATAAGAATTGACAGTAGACTTAACTTCAGGAGTAACAAGAGGTTGATGTTGAGATGATTTCTGGAATGCTTTCAATCAATGTTAAACTACTCTGTATTTATCATTCACTAAATAAGAAACAGGTTTTAAATTATATGATGTACAAGTGTCGGGACTTTAAATGAAAATTCTCATATGAATAACAGAGATTATATTGGATATAACAAACAGCTGATTTAATGGTCCAACAGTCTGGGATGATAAAGTTGAGTGTATGTTATGATAAACAAATTAATATGAAAGTCTCCATCCTGTAACTACACAGTGTTGTGATAGATGCTATTGCTTTGATTTTGGTAGTATATAAGCTTGTCATGATCCATCATACTTTACATTTAACTTATTTCTACATACATGGTAACTGTAACATAAACATACAGGTCTTGCTTGGTCAGAGTTACTAAATATCATATTAACTACCAGTAGTTGCAATTGTAGTTAAACACAAGGGAGGTAATCGCCAGGGGTGTTACCACCAGAAGAGAAACTGGTGTGGAGACAAGGGAGACTACTGTCGCTTCACCCTCTACAAGGAGAATAAGGACACTATGGATGCTATTTTTAAACTTGCACATATGTTACAGTAAGTGTAATGTTTTTCTCAAAATCTTGTTCCTTCTATCATATTGAATGCTGTTATAAGTATTTTCCCAGGATGAGAATGTGTGCTTTTAACTGTCCTACATTTTAGGATGAGAATATATACGTTAAACTGTCCTTTAAATTAGGACAAAAATGCTTGCTTTAAACTGTCTAATCTTTTCTCATTTTGTTAGATTTACATTTACTTACAAATTCATAATTAATATTGAGACTGTAGAGTAATTTGTGTATGTAAATTGCCAGTTTGTAGTGTTGCCCCTTGGCCGCCACTGTCATAATTTGATTCTCATTCAATTACTCTCTGACAGATTGAGATATTGAACTTTTTGATGTGTAGTTGTTCAATGAAAAGGTGTAATCAAAATTTCTTATTTTGTTATAGTTAGCTTATTTCTTCCAGAGTGTATGTGGTCATTGAATTTAGAAAATGCCATGAAATTATCACAGAAAAAAGCCAAAAGCATCAAACCTTGTCTGCTTGTAGTAAAAGTTAATGTATTATGATGAGTGATATCTAAGACCCTCTTGATTATAGCATATTTTTCAGTTCCATTTCTAGCCCACCATTATCATGTGGTGGGCTGTCCATCTGTTGTCCCTTGTCAGTTGTCAATCCTCGGTTCTTGTTATTACTTTTTCTCGAGAAATACTTATTGGATCTTTTTTTATATGTAGATTCCCTTGGTTACTTGTTGGGCCCATTTGGTTTTGGGACTTACTAGAAAAACAAAATGGCTGACTGGTGGCCAGTTTCGATTTTGACTTTGAAAGTTTGTTATCACTATTTCTGGAGAAGTACTGGATGTGTGCTTCAAAATTCCAAATGTAGGTTCTTTTTGGTCCCAAGTTGCTCCCATTTGATTTTTCAATTGATCAGAAAAACATAATGACTGGCCAATAGCCATCTCAGATTTAACAATTAAGGATTATTATCAAGATTTCTTAGAAGGAATTTTCAAATTTTGTATGATTAAGAGCAAAAAGAGGAGAAAGAAAAAAAGATTGTCAAAAGCTTCAACTTTTAAAGATCATAACGATCAATCAATGGTGGGCCCAAAGATCCTTGGGATCTGTTGTTGTGTCACTTGTATGGTCGTCTTTATAATGATAAGTTGTGTATTGTTTATTATGTTTTTTGAGTATTTTGTTTCAGTTGTTTAATCTTTGTTTCAATTGCAGTGTTAATAAAGGAATTTTCCAGTATGGTGGAACAAAGGACAGACGAGCCAAAACAACACAGGAAGTCACCGCATATAAGTAGGTTTCCATGGTGAGATTTAAGTCTGTTTCCATGGTGTGATACATACATAAGTCTGTCTCCATGGTGTGATACATGCACAAGTCTGTTTCTGTAGTGTAATACAAATTTGTCTCCAAGGTGTGATACAAGTCTGTCTCCATGGTGTGATACAAGTCTATCTCTATGGTGTAATACAAGTCTGTTTCCATGGTGTGATACATACATAAGTCTGTCTCCATGGTGTGATACATACATAAGTCTGTCTCCATGGTGTGATACATGCATAAGTCTGTCTCCATGGTGTAATGCATGCACAAATCTGTCTCCATGGTGTGATACAAATCTGTCTCCATGGTGTGATACAAATCTGTCTCCATGGTGTAATACAAGTCTGTCTCCATGGTGTAATACAAATCTGTCTCCATGGTGTGATACAAGTCTGTCTCCATGGTGTGATACAAATCTGTCTCCATGGTGTAATACAAGTCTGTCTCCATGGTGAAATACAAGTCTGTCTCCATGGTGTGATACAAGTCTGTCCCCATGGTGTGATACATACATAAGTCTGTCTCCATGGTGAAATACAAGTCTGTCTCCATGGTGTGATACATACATAAGTCTGTCCCCATGGTGTGATACATGCATAAGTCTGTCTCCATGGTGTGATACAAGTCTGTCTCCATGGTGTAATACAAATCTGTCTCCATGGTGTAATACAAGTCTGTCTCCATGGTGTGATACATACATAAGTCTGTCTCCATGGTGAAATACAAGTCTGTCTCCATGGTGTAATACAAATCTGTCTCCATGGTGTGATACATACATAAGTCTGTCCCCATGGTGAAATACAAGTCTGTCTCCATGGTGTAATACAAATCTGTCTCCATGGTGTGATACATACATAAGTCTGTCTCCATGGTGAAATACAAGTCTGTCTCCATGGTGTAATACAAATCTGTCTCCATGGTGTGATACAAGTCTGTCTCCATGGTGTGATACATACATAAGTCTGTCTCCATGGTGTGATACAAGTCTGTCTCCATGGTGTGATACATACATAAGTCTGTCTCCATGGTGAAATACAAGTATATCTCCATGGTGTGATACAAGTCTGTCTCCATGGTGTGATACAAGTCTATCTCTATGGTGTAATACAAGTCTGTCTCCATGGTGTGATACATACATAAGTCTGTCTCCATGGTGTGATACATGCATAAGTCTGTCTCCATGGTGTAATGCATGCACAAATCTGTCTCCATGGTGTGATACAAGTCTGTTTCCATGGTGTGATACAAATCTGTCTCCATGGTGTAATACAAGTCTGTCTCCATGGTGTGATACATACATAAGTCTGTCTCCATGGTGTGATACATACATAAGTCTGTCCCCATGGTGTGATACATGCATAAGACTGTCTCCATGGTGTGATACATACATAAGTCTGTCCCCATGGTGTGATACATACATAAGTCTGTCCCCATGGTGTGATACATGCATAAGTCTGTCTCCATGGTGTGATACAAGTCTGTCTCCATGGTGTGATACAAGTCTGTCTCCATGGTGTGATACATGCATAAGTCTGTCTCCATGGTGTGATACATGCATAAGTCTGTCTCCATGGTGTGATACAAGTCTGTCTCCATGGTGTAATACAAGTCTGTCTCCATGGTGTAATACAAGTCTGTCTCCATGGTGTGATACATGCATAAGTCTGTCTCCATGGTGTGATACAAGTCTGTCTCCATGGTGTGATACATACATAAGTCTGTCTCCATGGTGAAATACAAGTCTATCTCCATGGTGTGATACAAGTCTATCTCCATGGTGTGATACAAGTCTGTCTCCATGGTGTAATACAAGTCTGTCTCCATGGTGTAATACAAATCTGTCTCCATGGTGTAATACAAGTCTATCTCCATGGTGTGATACAAGTCTATCTCCATGGTGTGATACAAGTCTATCTCCATGGTGTGATACAAGTCTGTCTCCATGGTGTAATACAAGTCTGTCTCCATGGTGAAATACAAGTCTATCTCCATGGTGTGATACAAGTCTGTCTCCATGGTGTAATACAAGTCTGTCTCCATGGTGTGATACAAGTCTGTCTCCATGGTGTGATACACGTCTGTCTCCATGGTGTGATACAAGTCTATCTCCATGGTGTGATACAAGTCTGTCTCCATGGTGTGATACAAGTCTGTCTCCATGGTGTGATACAAGTCTGTCTCCATGGTGTGATACATACATAAGTCTGTCCCCATGGTGTGATACATGCATAAGTCTGTCTCCATGGTGTGATACAAGTCTGTCTCCATGGTGTGATACAAGTCTGTCTCCATGGTGTGATACAAGTCTGTCTCCATGGTGTGATACAAGTCTGTTTCCATGGTGTGATACAAGTCTATCTCCATGGTGTGATACAAGTCTGTCTCCATGGTGTGATACAAATCAGATTCTCCAAAAGTACTAGGATGATAGAAGCAGTTGCTGGAATGGAAAGCATATTCTGGTTCATTGGCAACACCCTTCATGTATATTTTGTCAATCGTAGTAAGTTATGTCACATTCTCAAATGAGAATGAAACCAAACAGTAAGTATATATATGAGCATTGTACAAGCAAAGAGAATATTTGCCAACAAGATCATGATAGTGACCACTAAACATTCCCAAAGCCTTCATCAACCTGTACTGTAGAACTGTAGAATATTTTCTAAACAGATACCAATGACCACCATAAACTTTACCACAGTCTTCATCAACCTTCATCTCTCAAAACCCTATGGTGTACGTTTATCTCTGTCAAAACTTTTTCTCAGAAATCATGATATTGTGAACAAGCCTTGAATGTAGAATCAACCACAACATGTAAATAACACTGGTTAATGAAGTAGGTATGTTGCTGTGCATAAATGGAGAATTCACAATAGGGAAAAGGAAATTGTCACACTAATCATCTAACTTAGTGGAAAGATGTCCTGTGGCCTATGTCCCGTGGCCTAGTTGGTTTTTATGTAAGTAAAGATTCAAGTAGAATAGTCTGCCATGTTCTTGATTTCTTATTCTGGTCAGTGCCTACTGCTATCTTTTCATACACAAAAGAATTTGGTGGCAGAATTGTGTGAGAGAATAGGGCTTCAGAATGATTACTGTCACACTTTCCAATGAATCAAAACATGTTTAAAGAACAATAGATTGCTCAAAAGGCCTGTCTGAGGTTGCTATATCAGCCTTCAAACTCTTGTCCCATTTAAGTCCTTTATTACGACATAATAACCTGTGTCCGAAACAATAGACGGAGATACTACTTGTCCCAGTTTGATAATCACCAAGAAAACGGGACCACTGATGAAAGCTTAATCATAATGGTTGGATCAATTGCCATCAATTAGTGGTTGTTAAGGCTCTAAGAATTGGTTGATATACAGAATAGTGGGGTAGTTGTTTTAATTGAAGTGAACAATGTATACCATTATATGTTCATACTGTGTATTAAAGAAAAATGGGACTGAAAATGATTGCCCATGATAGCAGAGTTGATGTTATTTTGTTGTTATTGACTAGGTTTCAATGTAATCATGATAAACACTTTTTATCCTTCAGGTTACGAATAGAAAAACTGCAAGCTGTCAGTCCAATCCTTTGGAATATGAAGTTAGGAGACTTCAGGTAATGTATTGTTTCTGGTTATAGAAGTAACTCTAGTTTGAGTGTCCATTTCTTGTCAGCTGCTTTGTCCTATTATTGGTCTGAGAGTCATCCCGTCTAAGCTACTTTGTCATACTTTGGTCTTAGAGTACATCCCCTCTCAGCAGTCATGTCCTTCTTCGGTCTGAGAGTATATGCCCTGTCAGCTGCCGTGTCCTTCTTTGGTCTGAGAGTAAATCCACTCTCAGCTACCGTGTCCTTCTTTGGTCTGAGAGTAAATCCACTCTCAGCAGTCGTGTCCTTCTTCGGTCCGAGAGTAAATCCACTCTCAGCTACCGTGTCCTTCTTTGGTCTGAGAGTAAATCCCCTCTCAGCTACGGTGTCCTGCTTTGGTCTGAGAGTAAAACTCCTCTCACCTACTTTGTCCTACTTTGGTCTGAGAGTAAATCCCCTCTCAGCTGCTTTGTCCTTCTTTGGTCTGAGAGTCATCCCCTCTCAGTAGTTGTGTCCTACTTTGGTCTGAGAGTAAATCCCCTCTCAGCTGCTTTGTCCTACTTTGGTCTGGGTTGGGTTGGATGGGGTGGAGAATTTAAGAAGAACTTATTTTCCAAAATTCTATTATTATTGTTTGTAGTTGTCCCTTTAATCTGCGTTAATATATCTGTATCTGGATTATGTTTTCAGAGTTGAAGTTATTGTAAATATCTTGAAGGGAAAATGTTATACGAATCATAATGCAAGCAGTCAAACGTGTTCTTGTTTGTGATTATAGATATGTTGAAAAACCATTACGACTTGGTCAGATCTGTGGAAACAAGTTTTCTATCGTCCTGAGGTAAGATTTATAAATACGTAGATAAACAAGTTTCTATTGTCCTGCGATATGATTTATAAATTGGTAGATAAACAAGCTTTCTATCCTCCTTAAGTAAGATTTATAAATATATAGATAAGCAAGTTACTTATCGTCCTAAGGTAAGGTTTATAAGTCTGTAGATAAACAAGTTTTCTATCGTCAAAATGTGAGATATTGTATAAACGACAGGTCTGGTCCCCTCAGGGCTGGAGGGCAGGGTCCAATCGCGAATGTTTACAATCAGAAAAGTGAAAAATTTACCTTTGTGCATTAGGATGTAGCTGTTTTAAATCACAGGAAGAGAAACTGATCCTGTTTATTTGACGATAACTGCATTGTTTATGGTAATTGTCCATCGACTATACATGTTGTTACAGGAATGTAACTGAGCCTGATAACCTAAAGATTGACAAGGCAATGATGTCTCTTCGAGACTATGGCTTCATTAACTACTTTGGCATGCAAAGGTTTGGCACCACATCCATTCCCACTTACCACATAGGAAGGTACGTACTCTAAAACATTTCTCATGGTTTATTGAAAACTTCTTGTTTATTTCATTTACAATGTAAACCTTAAAACTGGTTTGGGACCTAGATCAAAATCGGATGAAACAATATTGGTATCATTTATGAGAAAAGTTAAATAGCAGTGCTGTGTCATCAGTCAACAGTCTTCCCAAGCAGTTGTTACACAGTACAATCTTATTGGACTTAGGAATGAAGTTTAAACAATGTTACTCCATGATAGTGTGTCTTGACACTACAACTTAATGTATTGACTCTCCAGCATGGAGCATGCCTATTTCTCTTCAAATTTGGAACAGCCAGAGCATAATCATTGGAGAGTGATTTGCACCATCACCAAATCTCTTGGAAATTTATGATCAATTTGGTTTTGAAGTGCCATTTTTTTAATGCTACAAAAACAAAATCTGGATCAAAATTATCGAGATGTTTACCATAAATGCAACATGTTGTATTTTTCTTTTAGTGTAAAAATAAATATAAAACAGTTCAGAAATTAACAATAAGTGTGATTGCAGTTTTTGTATTGATTTAAAGACTTCCCCTTACAGCAATATCGTTAGAGATATAATTAATTAACTAATTGCTCTCTTAACTTAATCATCATAATATTTAAGTATTGAATATAATTTTTAATACAATACTTAACAGTGTCATCTTGTAACTAGACAATACTTAACAGGGCACGTAATAGGAGATGTATACTTGTATGACTATTACTGAGGCTGACACTAGAGGGAGTTTGATATGAGATATGTTTGTGTTGAAAGGGGTGATACTGTTTAGTGTGTGGGATATGAGATATGGTTGATTGTTTAAAGGGGTGATACTTTATAGTGAGTGGGATATGAGATATGTTTGATTGTTGAAAGGGGTGATACTTTATAGTGAGTGGGATATGAGATATGTTTGATTGTTGAAAGGGGTGATACATTATAGTGAGTGGGATATGAGATATGTTTGATTGTTTAAAGGGGTGATAATTTATAGTGAGTGGGATATGAGATATGTTTGATTGTTTAAAGGGGTGATAATTTATAGTGAGTGGGATATAAGATATGTTTGATTGTTTAAAGGGGTGATAATTTATAGTGTGGGGGATATGAGATATTGTTGATTATATTTTACATTGGGTTGTGTATGAGAGCTGTGTGATTTACAGGGCAAAACTTTACAGGAATTGGGATATGAAATCTGTTGGATTACCTCACAAGACTATACTTTACAGTTAGTTTTGTTTTGAGATCTATGCGATTATCAATAGTGTTACTGAGTGTGATATGAGATTTCTGTGATTAATTTACAGGGCAATACTGAACAGTGAATGGGAGGAGGCGGTAAACCTCATCATGAAACCACGGCCTTGGGGTACGTAATTACTAATCATCACCATATGATTGTTGTAGTTTATAGAAGTTACTTGTTGACCTGTATTAAAGAGTATAAGTGATCTGTATACGGAGGTCCCATGTTAGTATAGACACTTAATTTCTAAGAACTTTGTGGACAACTATGTTTTTAGCCCACCATCATCAGATGGTAAGCAGGTTAAGTCACTCTATATTCATCTTCCATATAGTAACAGCTCTTGTTGCTGTTTCTTGACAAGCACAGGATTAATCATTCTAAAATTTCACATTTGAGTTTGCCTTGTCCCTAGTTGTGCAAAGTTCATTTTTGGACTGATTTAAAAAACGAGATGGCTAATAGCCATTCATCTTTGTTGAATAATATGCTATTCAAATCACCCTTGATACATGGTCCATCGTCCCTTGTCTGTCCATAAGCAATCCTTGTTTTTACGTTTTCCTGAGAACTAGACGGTTCATTCTTAATTTCTTATACACTTTTTAACTTGATCCTTAGTGATGTCCTTTTGATTTTTTGACTGATCAGAAAATCTAAATGACTGTCAGGTGACTATCCTGTATTTTGACACTGAAAGATTTTGCATTTCTTCAGAAGCTCTGGAGGGATCTTTCTCAAATTTGATATTTATGCTCCCATGGTATCTAGTTGTACCCTTTTGATTATGGGACTGATCAGTAAAGCAAAGTGGCTGACTGATGACCATCCTGTATTTGTGTTTGAAATTTTTTTTTTTTCTTATCCAATGTTCTGTCAACAAAGCAAACTCTTTTCCTGGTATAATCAGAAGATCTTTAACACTAGATAGACAGTCAATGTTCCAATAACTTATCAAGGCTTTAGTCATGCCTCACTTGGAATATCAAGGCTTTAGTCATGCCTCACTTGGAATATGCAGCATGTCCATGGAATATGTACAAACATTCAGATCATTGAAAATGTCCAATGACGGACGACCAAGCTTATCCTAAGGCTTAGGGATCTTCCACACAGTGAACCTCTGAGGATACTCACACTAAAGATTCCCACTCTGAAATACTACAGGATGAGAGGGGATTTAATCACTGTCTTCAAAATTATCGGAAATATTTTTCATGGGAAAGTGACTTCCAATTGGTCAACATTTGATACAAAAAAAGGCATGTAGTCACAACTTGAAACTTTAGCCTAGAACTAAGACAGAACTTTTTTACATTTATATCTGTTGATTTGTTGAATCATCTGCACACAAAAAATTGAACACAGAGGCTTGCTGTCAACATCCATGGTTTTGCTTTTAAATGCTATTGAATTCAGGATTATTACCATTATTTCTCAAAACAGACATTATTATTATTCATAGTATGATCAGAAAACTGAATAAATATGAATTACTTAGATGGATTTGCTAGATATGATGATTGTGTAGATAAAACTTTACATGTGATATGTTCCAGAATATGGTGAGATTGCAGAATGTCGCCGGGTGTGGTGGGAAAAGCGAGACTGTAGTGCTGCCCTTAAGGTCTACCCAAAACGTTATTCCATAGAGCGCACCCTCCTGGCAGCCCTCAAGAAGAACAGTAGGAATTTCTGTGGTGCATTCGGAATGGTAAGGTCATTCTACGTAAAGTAGATCAAAAGTATGATGTCATGTACAGAACAGTGTGATGAGGTATAGAGTGAAGTAAACGATCAGTTTTACTGTGGAAGGTCAACTACCTAACCATCCATGATTCCCTTATGTGTATTTAAAGTAAAAGTTTCTAATTAATATTTGAAAATAAGATCTGAGCTGCATATTACATTGTAATATGTGCATTAAGTAATAATTCAGTTAAATTTTGTTAATATTTGGCCTGTGTAGGCCCAAGGGATTTTCAGAAAAGTGTTATGTCTGTAGTTTATTGTGTTGGTCAGAAGAGATTATAATTAGTGGTTACACAAGGGCATGTCTCCTATTACATGATTGTGATTTGATCATCATGAATTCATGACTTCGGTACTGTGACTGATGTATAATAACTATAGCAACATCCAACAGGTACACAATACTCTCTGGAGTTATCTATGGTTAGTGAGAGTCAGAATGAAGAATAGAGAAAAGGGGTCACAGTTATTGTTGGCATCAATTGATGCTGTTAAACTTTGGAAATTAAATTGCCAAATCAAGATTTTCTGCTTTGCAGTTCCTGCATATATTGGGGCTTGAAAAATATATCAAACTTTCTTCTACAGATACCGAGGAACACACGGCTAATGTACCTCCATAGTTATCAAAGCTATATTTGGAATTGTGTAGTGTCCCGCAGGATCCAAGAGTTCGGGATGAGACCAGTAGTCGGGGACCTTGTGCTCCCACAGGAATCTGAATCCATGGATGTGGAGCAAAATCTGGAAAGAGAGGAAGGTAGCTTTTAACAGGAATGAATAGTGTATATTTAGATAGAAAAAGAGGACAAAACAGGAATGCTGCTGTTTAATTACAGATTTTGAACAATCCTTGGTAGGAATTATGATAAACTTCTAATCAGTTCAAATTAGCATTAAAAATAGGATTTTCTGCAAAAATAGTAGTTGCCCATCAGTTCAAACTCTGCTTAATATTCCTATCCAATAACTACATATTGCCCAGGTAATTCTAAATTCTCTATATTTACATTGACACCAAAGCTAGGAGTGTTTTCACTTTTATACTCCCAGATAATTTTTGAGTGAGCATTTAGTCGCCTCTTCATCTATCCATCAGTCTGTCCATCTGTCTGCCTGTCTTTGTGTTCATCCTTTTGTATCTGGAGCATGACTTGCTCCACATTTAAGCAAGGATCATGAAACTTGTTGTATCCATTGGCCATTCAAAGGCGATGTCATTGTACTAAATTCAAGACGGTAGACACTTCAATTACAGAGTCATTGCCCTTTGTTAAAATTTTGTGTCCGGAGCATAACTTTGCTCGTATTTACAGTAGGTAATTGAAACTCCAGGGCTGCAACTGCACAATTGCAGAGTTATTGCCTTTTGTTGAAATTTCATATTCAGAGAACAATTTTAAATTGCTTGCATTTAAACTGGAACTTCGTATATACATTGATCAGGCTAAGGTGATGTGCATTGTACCAAACTCAGGGCCCTTGACCCCTTAGTCATAGAGTTAATACCCTTTGTTAAAAACATCTTGACCAGAGCATAATTTTACTTGCATTAAAACTAGAAGAATGAAACTTAATGTATACATTGATCATACTAAGATGATGAGCATTATACCAAATTCAGGGCCTTCAACTTCTGGATTACAGAGTAATTGCCCTTTGTTAAAATTTCTTGTCCAGAGTATAACTTCGCATTTATCTTAGCTAGAATTATGAAACTTGTTGAATACACCAATCATACCAAGACAATTTGCAGTGCACCAATGTTCTGGCCTGCAAACCATTAATTCCAGAGATATTGCCCTTTGTTAAAATTTTGTGTCCGCATCATAACTTTCCCTGTATTTAAACTAGGGTAATGAAACTTGTTGGATACATTTGTCACACTAATAGGATGAACAGTGTACCAAATTCAGTGCTTGAAACCCTTTAATAAGAGAATTTTTGCTCTTTGGTAAAATCCTTTTAGGGAGCATTCATCAGTTTAAAACGACTAAATGGTTAGATTTTCATAACCGATAAAAGGTGTTATAACATTTAAATATTAAAATTTAAGGTTAATTCAAATTCATTTGTTTAACTCTGTCATGCATATGTATTCAAGGTCAACAGATATCAAATTTGTCTGAAAAATTCAAATGAAGATTATTAAGCCTTGAGTAATTGTAAAATTGGTATTTTCTTAATTTGGTTTAAATGAATTTAATTTAGACCTACTGGTACTTTGAAAGTTGTGATGTGAAAAGCATAGAGTGTAAGTGGCCATTGTGTCTCAGGTTTTAAGATGTCATATACCTTATTAATGTAGGCTTAGTAAATTCTCAATAATATCAGCTCTATAAACTCTCAGATATGAACTGTTGCATGCTTTGAATTATGTGTAATGGACTTTTCATTGAGAACAAATTTGCTAGATGTACTGTTTAGATCATTGTCAGGTTCCTTCAAAGCAATATTGAACATGATGAATTAGGAAATGAAACCTGAGGTGTCATGAAAATAAACGAATTATGTCAGATATTGTATTTATAAATGACACAAAGCAGGATAAACAAGACATTTGTATTTTGCTTGTATTTACAGGTGATGATGAGAACAATGGGAAGAGATTCCAAACTCAGCCAATCGTAGTTGATCAATCCAACTTAAATGACTATACCATATATGATGTTGTTATGACCATTCCAGGTTATGATGTTATATATCCTGAAAATGCAGGCAAGTTTGAAATGTTTGAATTTCTAAAATAAGATTTTAACTGCAGTAGTGAATCAGCTATTGTAGAGAAAGGAAATGGTCTGTAGTGGCATGCTGTGTTAGGATTTAGTGTTGTGTGCAGTAAGGAAAAACTGTTAAAAATTAATTTCAGAAATTCAGTCCATTTTTCTATACCAAATTTTATATGATTGATTGTTACCTTTATAAAACTTAATTTGTACATCATAATCAATTTTGAGGTTTGCCTTTTTTATTGGAAGAGTTATGTCCCTTATTTGTCACTAGGTTCTGTCTTGTTCAACCCTACAAGGCCTGTTGAAAGAGTTTGGAAAAAAAGATTACTAAAATTTGATTGGAACCTCATGTTTCTACCCATCATGGACTTGTATTTCAATTTCAACAATACTTTCACAATCTTTGCTATTTACTTACTCTGTTCTATAACATTTGTTGGTTTATGTGAAATTTCATATGCATGTCTTCAGTTGAAAATTATTATATATTTCACAGTGAAGAACTGGGTTACTGAGATTTTGGAGAAAGATAACCTTACCATTGAGAATTTTCGACATAAAAACAAGTAAGTAAAGGATTCTACTATATGAATGTTCTACATCACCTGTTTTCTCTCAGTCCTTTGGCTGTTTTGACTGGTGACTATATATATTACAGTATACACTGAAAGGCACCTACAGGAAGATGTTGATCTGTTCTATATATATTATAGTACACACTGAAAGGCACCTACAGGAAGATGTTGATCTGTTTTATATATATTACAGTACACACTGAAAGGCACCTACAGGAAGATGTTGATCTGTTCTATATATATTACAGTACACACTGAAAGACACCTACAGGAAGATGTTGATCTGTTCTATATATATTACAGTACACACTGAAAGGCACCTACAGGAAGATGTTGATCTGTTCTATATATATTACAGTACACACTGAAAGGCACCTACAGGAAGATGTTGATCTGTTCTATATATATTACAGTACACACTGAAAGGCACCTACAGGAAGATGTTGATCTGTTCTATATATATTACAGTACACACTGAAAGGCACCTACAGGAAGATGTTGATCTGTTCTATATATATTACAGTACACACTGAAAGGCACCTACAGGAAGATGTTGATCTGTTCTATATATATTACAGGCAGTACACACTGAAAGGCACCTACAGGAAGATGTTGATCTGTTCTATATATATTACAGGCAGTACACACTGAAAGGCACCTACAGGAAGATGTTGATCTGTTCTATATATATTACAGTACACACTGAAAGGCACCTACAGGAAGATGTTGATCTGTTCTATATATATTACAGGCAGTACACACTGAAAGGCACCTACAGGAAGATGTTGATCTGTTCTATATATATTACAGGCAGTACACACTGAAAGGCACCTACAGGAAGATGTTGATCTGTTCTATATATATTACAGTACACACTGAAAGGCACCTACAGGAAGATGTTGATCTGTTCTATATATATTACAGGCAGTACACACTGAAAGGCACCTACAGGAAGATGTTGATCTGTTCTATATATATTACAGGCAGTACACACTGAAAGGCACCTACAGGAAGATGTTGATCTGTTCTATATATATTACAGTACACACTGAAAGGCACCTACAGGAAGATGTTGATCTGTTCTATATATATTACAGTACACACTGAAAGGCACCTACAGGAAGATGTTGATCTGTTCTATATATATTACAGTACACACTGAAAGGCACCTACAGGAAGATGTTGATCTGTTCTATATATATTACAGGCAGTACACACTGAAAGGCATATTACTACAGGAAGATGTTGATCTGTTCTATATATATTACAGTATACACTGAAAGGCACCTACAGGAAGATGTTGATCTGTTCTATATATATTACAGTACATGCTGAAAGGCACCTACAGGAAGATGTTGATCTGTTCTATATATATTACAGGCAGTACACGCTGAAAGGCACCTACAGGAAGATGTTGATCTGTTCTATATATATTTCAGGCAGTACACACTGAAAGGCACCTACAGGAAGATGTTGATCTGTTCTATATATATTAAAGTACACACTGAAAGGCACCTACAGGAAGATGTTGATCTGTTCTATATATATTACAGTACACACTGAAAGGCACCTACAGGAAGATGTTGATCTGTTCTATATATATTACAGTACACACTGAAAGGCACCTACAGGAAGATGTTGATCTGTTCTATATATATTACAGGCAGTATACACTGAAAGACACCTACAGGAAGATGTTGGTCTGTTCTATATATATTACAGGCAGTACACACTGAAAGGCACCTACAGGAAGATGTTGATCTGTTCTATATATATTACAGTACACACTGAAAGGCACCTACAGGAAGATGTTGATCTGTTCTATATATATTACAGTACACACTGAAAGGCACCTACAGGAAGATGTTGATCTGTTCTATATATATTACAGTACACACTGAAAGGCACCTACAGGAAGATGTTGATCTGTTCTATATATATTACAGGCAGTACACACTGAAAGGCACCTACAGGAAGATGTTGATCTGTTCTATATATATTACAGTACACACTGAAAGGCACCTACAGGAAGATGTTGATCTGTTCTATATATATTACAGTACATGCTGAAAGGCACCTACAGGAAGATGTAGATCTGTTCTATATATATTACAGGCAGTATACACTGAAAGACACCTACAGGAAGATGTTGGTCTGTTCTATATATATTACAGGCAGTACACACTGAAAGGCACCTACAGGAAGATGTTGATCTGTTCTATATATATTACAGGCAGTACACACTGAAAGGCACCTACAGGAAGATGTAGATCTGTTCTATATATATTACAGTACACACTGAAAGGCACCTACAGGAAGATGTAGATCTGTTCTATATATATTACAGTACACACTGAAAGGCACCTACAGGAAGATGTTGATCTGTTCTATATATATTACAGTACACACTGAAAGACACCTACAGGAAGATGTTGATCTGTTCTATATATATTACAGTACATGCTGAAAGACACCTACAGGAAGATGTTGATCTGTTCTATATATATTACAGTACACACTGAAAGGCACCTACAGGAAGATGTTGATCTGTTCTATATATATTACAGTACACGCTGAAAGGCACCTACAGGAAGATGTTGATCTGTTCTATATATAATACAGTACACGCTGAAAGGCACCTACAGGAAGATGTTGATCTGTTCTATATATATTACAGTACACACTGAAAGGCACCTACAGGAAGATGTAGATCTGTTCTATATATATTACAGTACACACTGAAAGGCACCTACAGGAAGATGTAGATCTGTTCTATATATATTACAGGCAGTACATGCTGAAAGGCACCTACAGGAAGATGCTGACCAGACCAAAGGATGTGACCTGGCAGACATACCTGTACAATGATGTGATGCAGCCAATTGTGCTTAGTGATATGGACAGACTTGAAGGGAAGCCTGAACCGCAGTCTATACCAGGTCAGATCTCGTATTTGTCTCAGTGCCAAAGTTTGAAAAAATCATGCATCTTAACCTCCATTTAGCAAATAAATTATGTAGAAATTATTTTTAGCTCACCTGGCCTGAAGCATCAATTTTGTATAAACAGTAGGTCTCCACCTGCTGGGGTGGGGCCAATAGGGGTAATACAGCTGTAGGAATGATTGGTTTTTGCCTAACTTTGGTCTGAAGCATCGTTAGATGAAGGGAAATCAATTTTGTCTTCGCTTTCTAAGGCTGGGTGGTATAGTGGAAATAGAGGAAATTCTCTAAAATCCTTCTTTTGTGGGAATGCCTTGATTCTGTACTAATTTGGTCTGAAGCATGCTAAGTTGAAAGGAACCACATTTTGTATAAACCAGGAGTCCATCAGAGATGTGGGGCCAATTAGGAAAAATGTAAGTTGTTAATATCGTGTTAATATGGATGTTCTCCAAGTATGATCTGAAGCAATTTATATGAATAGTGAATCTGACATATTTGACAACAAAGGCAGGACCCAATACGAAAAGTCTTTGAGAAATCATCTATCATATTTGAAATTCTGTGTTAAATGACTGAATAGCTGAATAAGCCAGTTGAAGAATGCAGGCCCCTTCGGTCACTTCTTATTTTTACTTGCTGAAAGGCTTTTAAAGATTAAAAATTCAAAACTGTATCAGAATGTAATATGAAAGGAAACTCATGACAGATCCTCTAAATATTGGAAAAAAATGTTACCACCTATTTTCTAACATTTTGCTGATCATATGACTTTCACAAATGAGAATCTGTTATGATAAAATGAAGTTGCTACTCCTAAAGGTAAAAGAGTTTACCCATCAGAAACAGCAGTTGTAATTTTCACAAGTAAATGGATTTGGCTGCAAAGTCCTGAAAGTATAAAGATTTCAAGCTGTTAGGAAAAGTCCCTGGGGTTATAGAAGACCATTGGGGTAAATTTTAACAAACAATCCTGTAAGGCTGAATTATATAGGCAGTAGATATCCTAGTGAGTGAAGAATGAAAGGCTGCATTTCAAGTTTTAGAAATAAACAGAATTGGACCAGGGTTTGGAACTTTGTCAGATGACTGTTAAGGTCCATCAACCTGACCTGTTGCTTTAAAGACTCTCCTGACTGCTGAGCAGGTCTTCTTGTTCCTCTTTACTAAAATTATGAAGTCATTAAAATGTTGTAGGTGGTTCTTTGAAAGCCCTGAAGCTAGAGATGACACTTCCTCCTGCCTGCTACGCAACCATGGCTCTACGCGAAGTTCTCAAGATGGACACTTCGTCAGCACACCAATCAACGCTAAACCAGACAGCACAGGATGTCAAAACTAGTGATGATAACATGAAGGACACCATGACTTGACCACTTTACACCTAGTAAATGTTATGTGTCTAGGAATTTAAACTTGGGAGATGACTGACATCTATCACAAATGATTTTTTGATAGTCATCATGTATCAAGCAAAGTGTCCCGAGGGGAAAATGCCACCTGCTGATTGCGTTATCAGTTATACTGGTAAAGTAAAATCTATCAGAATATTTTCTCCCCAGCTATACTCTGTCAGGCTGCAGAAAATATTGTTTATTATTTGAAGACCAAAATATCCAAAACAATCATTAAATGAAACTTGATGACCATAAATGTGTGTTCATTACTTGTTTAGGTGGATCTTCATAACATGAAATCTTTGTAAGATAATACCCTTCACTTAGTTACGGGGAGTGCTGTAGATAATACACCCTACTAAGTTAAAGGGAGGTGCTGCAGTGACAAATTTTATCTTTGAGGAATGAGTGAAATTGAAAGAGCTAGATCAAGTTTTATACAGGGTGGTGCAGTGGTAACGCACTCGCCTTTCACCTAGCCAACCGGGGTTTGATTCCGGGAATGGACGTGAAAAGGTAAGGGGTCACCTGCCCTACCATGTGGTTTTTCCCCTGGTACTCCGGTTTCCTCCCACAATAAGACCCCTCGCACACTTACATCCGGGTCGACAAGAGTGATTAGTATAAGTTGACATAACTTGTTTTGAAATTGTTGTAAAATAAATAAAGTTTATATAAGTTTTATACATTAATGCTTGAACAACAAGGAAAGTACTTCAATCAAACTGAAAATTGATGCAAAAATATGAATTAAAACAACAAAGAAAATATTAGCATGTCGAGAGAGTCTATTCAAACTCAAATTTGATGACAAGATTTGACCAAAAGAAAGATTTACATCAGGACCCCTTAAAAAGTATAAGAAGAATAAGACATTGTGATCTGAAAAGGTAAACGTCCTCTGTTTCATCGACATCACTCGCTATGTAAATCTTGGTCAGTCCAAGTAAGGAAAATCACATTCCCAATAAGAGTTTTTTAAAATCCATATGCCAAGTTAGAAGTAGAGAATACTGGTTGCCTTACCTCGTTTGTTTTGGATTACTCAATAAGCACAAATTTATATGGGTAATCTTGTTGTGATACTGTTTACTCAAGAATTGGAATTAATGATGTAACAAAATAATGAAAAATACCCTGCCACTACTAGGGTTTGAACAAAACCTTTTGAACACTCTATTGCTTGATTTAAGAGGGAAATTCACACAAGCTAAGGCTTGTATGGTGATCTGTATTCTTCTACATTTGTATGAATTTTTTAGACTTCAAATAAAGCTCACGATCAGACTCGTTCGGTGGAGTGTTGCACTTTCTAATCTCTAGTGAAAATTTGTATGTGGTTTGACTATTCCTGCTTGGAGCAGTTTGTGTTTCTCTGAAGCTGGGAAATGTCCTGATATTTGTTGTGTCCTTGAGCAAGATAATTTATTCAAATTTCCTTGGATGTTGTTTTACGGGTCTCCCATATGCCATATTGAGATAGACAAAAGTTTTTTGAAGTAGACCCTGTCTCTAAATAACCTCACCTGTTGATGCAAGATAAACCCAGTAAATACCAAACAAAGATGTGTGCTTTAAAAAAGGACATTATGGATGTAACCATGATAAGCACTTAAGCCATAATATACAAGTACCACTCATCTGAAGATATCTTCTCTTTAACTCAAGGGGAAGAATGCAAGACTAGGAAGCCAGAGATCCTGGTTCAATCACTATTGGAACTGCTGACATTTCATGTCCAACATTAATTTTTTAATATTTTGAACTTCTAAAATTCTGTATGTATTCAACCTTATTAGGACCCTGCATCGGGATGAGGGTGCCCTATAATTAACAGCTTGTGTGCCTGCTTTAACTTTCCACATTTTTAACTGTGGTATTTTTCGTCAGATTCTCTTCGATTTTTCTATGTGGGTTTATATTTATAAGACTTAGCATATGTTCGATAACCAGTGTAATCTGTTAATATTTGCAAGTATTATGGGACTTTAAATAAAGAAAATTCACCTTTTTTTCACTCTCCGCACTGATGTTCTCAAAATGTGGTATGTGGGTTCATATCAATTAGACATCACAAGAGTTTGATAATCAGTTTCATCCATAAACAATTTTGTTACTTTGCAGTTGGTTTTTTACAAAATTTGGTCTTTTGGCTGTGGGCTTATGTACACAAGACATTGGAATCACTTCATATGTACAAGTTATAGAATTTGAAGGCTGGTACAGATGATCATCATGACATCCCTCACGAGTGTTGTTGATTTTGATGCAGATCAGAAAATCCAATATAACCACCATGGCTTCTTATTGACCGAGACATTTTTGACATCTTCTCAAGACTGGCTGGTGCAATTTTATTCTAACCGGATATAAATGATCCTAAGGGAGTTCCAAACAAGAATGGTGCTGATCAGAAAAGCCAAAATATGTCTTCTGATTTGTCAACCTTCAATTATTGATTTTTTGGGTTTTGCTGCCTCCAGTAATAAAACCTTTTGAAGTTCAACAAATAAACCTAAAAAATCAATAATTGAGTAATATAACAGTCACATGAAAATTTACTATGAAGTATTATATTTGTGACATGAAAATAGGGAAATAAATGATTACAGAATATGTAGAGCAAACACAACAAAGGATGTTGAAGCATGGATGTCATATTTGGTATGTTCATGTAAGCTTTTTCTCATCTCAGAAACAATGGAAATGGCCGTTAACTTGATAAGTATAGATAACTATCATATCGTGAACTAGATAATGATTATTTTATTCACAACAATAGAACATTTTCAATATTAAGAAAGTCATTTTGTTCTCTGCATCAAATAGCGTCTCGATCCTTTGGTGGGTTAGGCTTCCTGTACTTGTCTGCAGTACTGAAACGAAAAAATTTCACAATTACATATTCAGGATAGATTAGTCATAATGTTTTAAGTTATAATGGTCATGCTCAGTTTTTAAAAATTTTGGCTTTCTATAAGTAAACGCTTACTCTGTGTACTGCCTATTATTTGTAAACATTTACCTTAACTTTTGATTAAGTAACACTTACTTTGGGTACCACTGATGTTTTGTTGTATGGAACATACTGGCTAATTCTTGACGTGTAGGCCCATCCTCTCTGAACTTCAGCATTTCCATTCGCTGAACTTGCATGTTCAATGCTGAATTTCCCTGATATACAATAACAAGACACTTTTCTATAGAATTCTCCTAGATGAGGAATGCAACATGTGTGAATTTGACACTTTTGTTCTAATCATGTTTACAAAAATGATTTAAAGCAATTTTCAATTAATCTTTTATCAGAAGAAATATATATAAGTGTATCCTGAACGTTTTGCTGTATCTAGCTGTAAAATACTGTCTGTTAAACAATCAAAGGTTATGGTAATTATGTTTCCCAGATATTGTGATTTCTCTGAAATTCACATCTTTCATATAGTGGCGATTGCCTCAATATGGGTACCCCACATCTGTGACATCACTAACTCCATACTGTCAAAACAGCCCTATAGAAATATACTCGGAAGCTTCCAGCATGTATTTGATATCCAAGTATATAAGCTCCTTATGTGATGTATTTATTTGACACTTACTTGTGAAGGTTATATTAAAAGTGTTGCATACATACAGAAATTATTTTTTACACTTAAATCATAAAAATGAGTTCCTATTGAGTATACAAACATGTACTGTATGAGGGTGTCTGTTCATTCATGCATATTCTATCTAAATTAATTGGAGGTTTTTAATTTGTTAATCTGGTGGCTGTTAATACTATACTTCATATTTTCCAATTGGTCTCTAAAAATATCATGAATCCTTGATGTATACAACACAAAGCAACCAATTGAAAGTTTAGTCAAGTTTATGTTTGCACACCCCAACCCTTTCTTCACAAATGGATATGTACAATCGCAATTAGTAACAAAGACACCATAATATACACTGATAATAAGCAGCAACATGTGTTCTAAGCTCCAGTTGTAATGGCCAGAAACTATATCGTATTTGTGATACGAATGGTTTACAATAGTTAATTAATTAGAGATGTAGGGAGGAGATAATTTGCTATCTTTAAGCTTTATGAAATTAAGATTTTATGAAGATAACATGAAATGTACAAACCACAAAAATGTTACAGAGGGAGGACTGTCCTTTCAATTCTCACAAAGAAAAGTAATACATTAATGAACCACATGTTCAGACTTATCATGCCTGAGGACTTTGTTATAAAATAGAAAATTGAAAGACAAAAAATTTACACCATTCCACAAACCAACATCAAGTTCAGATTCAATTGAACTCAGTCACTGCCTAAAAGTTCTGCCTAAATAGTGTTAATCTGCAATCTGACAGTGAATTCAATGACTTTTCTTGACCTTGCCTATTCCAATTCTGGTGGCTGTTACAGTTGTTGGAACTGATAGGGTCCCATTCTGAGCAAGTTAAACATACCAGTATGCTAAGTAGCAGTAGGACAGGTGAACTCTTTACACATTAGTATTTAGGTAATGGGCCAGCTGATTTTGACACGGTTTTTAACCTTTTTTATTTAGATCATATACAATAATAATTTATCCATTTCGTTTTTCGTTCAGGGTTCACTTTAATTATAAAAAATGCTCTAATTCTGATTCTTTAATGAGTGATGTGAAGAAATTATGTATGTGATTTGGTTTGCATACTGGAATTTTTTATCTTTTAACTGCAAATACATATATATGTGCAGTACCTGGCTATGGGTAAGACTTCAAACATTTTCTTAAAACCACGAAATCTACAGTAACACAAATGTGGTCATGAAGTTAATAAAAAGGCACAAAATATATCTATGGCAAAAAAAAATGCCAAAAAAGTTTTGAAAAAAGAATATAGGAACAAAAAAATATATTACCTCTCCTAGTTCTTCTTCTTTTCTTGGCAGAGGCTGAAATGCAAAACAAATTGTCAACCCATGATCACTTTTTATGCCTGAGTTGGATAGAATTCTCCAAATATCCATGCAAGGTGATCAATAATTTTGCATTTCACAATTGGCTTTCATTTTAAGACTGACCAGATGGTATGATCAATATTGCAACACAAAGCTGATATCATAAATCTATTTTAAATATTACTTTTCTGAATAAGAATGAATGACATCCTGAATTTAAAAGGACATTTTTTAACATGACATTATTTTCTGAATGCAATTACATGTAATAAAAAAGAAATCTTAAACATATACCAAGCAAGGTGTCAAGATCCCCCTAACATTTTGTTTGTGAACATCACACAACTGAAATGGTAACTGACTGTTTTCCGAATCTGATCACAGCACGGTACAACATACTAATCTCATTGTAAAAATTACGCATATTCTTAAACACCAATTATCATCTGGTAATCAACATGGATTAACAGTGCAAACATCACTTTTGCAGAAGCTATACTTACTAAGGTGTATTCATATGGAATTACTGGCTCTGGGTGATAACAAACAATGGTACCATTTTTCTTGGATACTCCAACTTCAGGTAAACAGTTCCTGAAATATAAAAAATCACTGTTTAATCATTGAAAGTTAAAACAAGCTTTACATTTAATGGCACAGAGTTTGTTCAGAATCTCCATTATTGGTAACTTCGTAATATGACAACATATTACAGGTTCAACACCTTTGATTATATTTCAAATTTATAATGCAGTCTATGCCTGGAACTAGACAAACAAGTAATATATATTTACCTCTATATGGTATTGCTAAAATCAGTAATGTATTACAGACCCATGAAATGCCAAGGACATAGGAATATTGCACATAATGTAATAATGAAGTTGAGACTGCCTCTTAAAACAATGAAAATTAAATATGATCAATATAAGCAGTAACCTACTTTAAGTTGGCATTCATGGATACAGTAAATGCCAACTGGATAAAGACATCATCATATCCAGTGCCTTTATTTTTGTGGCATCCATATCGCGCATGAATGCCAACTGAAAGCAGTTGAATGCTTAACATATACTTTATGAAAAACCAAATAATTTTATAAATATATACACAGAAGTCTTGTGAACATGTTTTACACTCAAGAAAAAAGCTGAGATTAGGGTAGCTAAAAATTCCTGATACTACTAGACTTGTTTCTTAAACACAATGTCCTACTTACAGAGGTACAATTGCCTGTTCTATGTTACCTGTTTGTGGAATCACTTGATGAACTTGCTGCTCTTGCCTGTGATGGTTTCGTAATTCCTTTAAGATAAAAGAAACATGATAACTGATTACATGTAGAAATAGTTATTTGGATGATGTTCTATCAACATTTGGTCACTACAATATTAGTTTAGTACAAAACTACAGATGTTAGTAAAACAATTTATATCCTCTAATGAAATCTGTTAATAATCCTGCCTAATGGGAGGATAAAAATGCCTTTAGTAAGACATGGAAATCATCCTTTTTGGTAAATACTGTAGTCTGAGACTGGTTGGATTATTTATTCAATTGTGTTTAACTCTGTTTTTATCTTGGGAGAACTTGCATTCATACCTTGATTGTTTGTTGTCTTAACCTTTTGGGAGGAGTAACAAGGGAATCCTACATAAGAAATTTAAGAAAGAGAAATGCCAAACTTTAATAAAACTACAGACCATCACAAAACTTGCCACAACTTTGAACCAAGGGAAACCTAAAGCTACACATGTCAAATTTGAGAAATATCTTTCCAGTAATTCTCAAGAAATAGCAATAGAAAACTCTCCCCAATCAAAATTCCAGATGGTCGCCTGTCTGAATTTTGTTTCACTGATCAGTTTCTGCTCTCTCAACTATATAGGTACAATTTGGAACCATGGGCAACAAACACATCAAGTTTGGGGAATATTTCTCAAAAAAATAACTATGAGTGTCAAAATCCTGTTTCAGAGTGTGTGCACAAGTAGGGAGTTGGCTTAACCTGACTAAATCAATTGAATGTTTCTCAAAAAACAACAGGGAGAAAATAACTTTCATTGTCAAAATCCAAGACAGCAACCTGTCAGCCATTTCTGATCAGTCCCAAACTTGATAGTCCACAACCAGAGACCAATGGGAATCTGTTAGTATAAAATATGAGAAGGAGACATCCTGTACTTATCAAGAAATAGTCATTCAGAAAATTGTCATACTTTCCACACACCTTAGTCGATTGAAACAGATTCCTTGTTGAAATCATTCACACAAAATCATTTTAATCTTTCAAATCTGCCCTACTCCACAACAAAGAAAATGCAGACACACTTAATGTCTGTAACTATATTTATTCTATTTTGGTCACTATTTCTATTTTTCTACATAATGATAATTAAACCTCTTGTTGTAGACATTTATCTTATAGTATTTTCTTTTCGTGTCATACCCATGTGTAGAAATATTCATCATAACAAATTAAGACATTTAATCGACAGAAGCCCATCCTGTCTGAGGAGTTCTGACTACCTACCATCTTATTTTTGTCTTGGTCGTGGTAAACTGCGATAAGGCACTGACAATATCATTATCTATCACAAAGTCTTAAAACGTCAACTAGATCTTGAGGTTGCTGCCAGGTGGGAAGCAAATTGGCAAGTAGCTTTCCATCCTGATAAAAATGTATGTCACTGTCAGTTACTCAAAAGAGAAATCCTATCAAATATCATCTGCCAAGTTACATTGAGGTGACACTTTAGTCGAACCTCAAATGAAACATCTGGGACAATATAACATCAAGTGGTCATAAAGTCCTTAGTTTTCCTAAGTAAAAAAGTTAAAATTTCAAACACCACTATTAAGGCCGAAGCATACCAGTCAATAGTGCCATCCAAACTTGAGTTTATTACTTGCATATAGGTGTAAGAGAGGTCATTATTCATTTTAATGCCTCCGCTAGGAATCGAACCCGGGACTCCTGGCTTACTAGTCTGATGCTCAACCAATCGAGCTAAAGAGAAGTTCTCTCTAGCCGAGTGGTATATTGCGGCTAGTATTTTACCAGGGTTACATACTCCCCCTCCAGGAAAGAATTCGTCCTCGAGTTTCCAGGGGTCACAGCGATGCCGATGGGGCATGGCTAAGTACTAATCCTGGGTCCCTACGTGGGCGCCAAATGTAAGAGAGGTCATTATTCATTTTAATGCCTCCGCTAGGAATCGAACCTGGGACCCCTGGCTTACTAGTCTGATGCTCAACCAATCGAGCTAAAGAGAAGTTCTCTCTAGCCGAGTGGTATATTGCGGCTAGTATTTTACCAGGGTTATATAGGGCCCTCCCACAATGCAAAATAATAAAAATTGAATGATTCAACAAAATGCAACTAGATAAGTATGCAGTAACTACAATAGCACAAGCAGTGTGTCAGGAATGATAGAAAATTTCCATTTGGCCACTCCCAACAGAGCACCGTCTAAAAGCAAGCCTTGTGGTCTTCTATGAAATTGTCCACTGTCTCATTGCTGTTTTTACATCTGACATCCTCTCTCCTGTTGACAGTAAAATCCGAAAATCAAACAATCAAAATTTCAGACGTCTGCAACCAATGATGCCTTCAAATGATCCCTCTTTCTGTGCACCATTGTCCAATGGGATACTCTCCTGCAGCCATTGTAGACAGTGCTTCTGTAGATATCTTTAAAAGATCAGCTGATTCCAGCTTTTTTCCTCTCTGCATTCCCCATTCAATCCAGGTAATTTTTGCTACCGTCTGGAGGAGGAATTCTCAAAGAGCCCATCAGAACCTTTCAGGCTAAAGCCAATCATACATGTATGGCTAAAGATTCATAACACAAGGTTTTGATTATGATTGCAAGGCAAGAACTGTCCTGTTTCCATTCAAGCTGGAGGCAGATCCAAATGCTGGTTTTTGCACGAGAAGAGAGAGCAATGCATTTATTGGTAGGTAAGGGATGACTTAAATTCCTCGATTTTTGTTTTTTGGTGCACACAATTTTTATCTTCCAGATGGTTCAAGTCTCTCACAGTTCTTACGGCAAAAGAGTTCTTGTGTTGTAGAGCAGAGGCAATCTGAACTTAACTGTTTGCTATTATTGGTGGCATACGTGTCTACAATATTTTTGGTTTTACGACTACCTAAATTCCTTAATGTACGGATGGCCCTTGTTGTTGTATATTTGTTAAAAGTCAGATGGTGGTATGGCCGGTACGTACCCCTCGACCACTTTATTCATACATATGAGGCACTGTGCTGTTTGTCTTTGTTGTAGCATTGGTGATCTGATGATCTGGGCAACGGTGTACTGGAGTTTGTGGAGTTCGTATGGAGTAGTTACTTAACCGGCAAGAAGGAGCAGGTCAGGTTTGATTTTGGTCCAAACGTAAGAAGTGCTGAAAGGGGTGCTACAATACTTGATTTATTTAATGCCGTTTTCAATGCCAATAACATTATAATCTTTAAGCCTCATATGCTACGACCCGACTTTATACATAAAGTGTCCCTCCCCCCAAACTTCATCCTCCCCGCTTGTAAAGAAACCCTTAGTTCATTTCCAGGAAAAGATCCCCGTACAAACCTCGTTGAATGTGTCGATAATATCGCAAAGAAGAAAAAGTAACGTTTCTGACTGTAGCAGACATGACTCCACCGGAAGTCCGAATTGGTTGAGTAAAATAAAAACTGGAACCCGACCGGACCGAGCCTCCCTTATTTTTCCTGAGAATTATATTCCGAAAGTTAACATAACATCACTGTGCGATAACTATGTATATATACCAATGTGCATCAGAGGTTCATCCGTAAAAACTATTGTTTTTGTATGTCAATTGCCACTGTTTTCAACATATTTTATAAAGTCATGGGCTGTATTTGAAACAGATTCAAGGATGCTGATATAACTTGATACAGTCAAAATAGTAATTATTATCTAATGTTGATTTGGAGTAGATTTGGAGCCGCTGCCTTTAATTTCCGAGTGCTAAAATGCTAAAACCAATACATTATCATATTCATAATAATATTAAAGTGTACTGGAAATCGTCCAAGTTATGATCGCCAAATACAGACGAACACAACTTCATATGAATTTTTTCCTTTAACTTATATCAAAGTGCGTTATTTACCTTCTCATAAAACAATGGCTCACCATATCATAATTATAAGTACATGTATTATTCGTCTCTAACAGGACATAGAGCCGTTAACATTAACCCATGATATATGGTTACAAAGTACAACAGACTACAATAGTATAGTTATAATGTATTCTAACAGTATTTTGATATTTTATTTTCTTGTTTTTCGTCGGTTTTTAGGTCTAACTTTGATTTCATGACAACTAAATAGGCGATATATAGCGAAAGTTATTACTCTGGTGACCGTTTGAGGCCTTTTGTTTTCAGCTTATTTACAATCAGATACATCTCTTTATATGTTCTCAGTAGTTACATGTGAAGATCAACCGTATTGCAAACAATTCCAATGTGTATACTGTGGAGAAAAGAAAGCAAAACTTCGTTGTTTTAGGGAACCAAAACAAAGTCTCTACTGCAGCAATGCTGATTTACCTGTTGGAGAAGATGCTACAGGTAAATATACCACAGAATATTGGCCTGGCATTAGAAAACGCCCTAAACGATATAAAACTTCAGGATAGGTCCAAATACATCTGTAACATGTTGTTAGGTCCCTGTTAGGGGCTTGGCTTCCATAAAAAGAAAAAGCCCGGGCTCCGGGCTTACACATAAAAAAAAAAAAAAAAAAATCCGTGCATAGAGTATGTCGGACAAAATCACAAAACTAAGGTTGAAAATAAATATCAGGGATTGAAGTTTGTTGTTAAATAAATAAAAAAAAACTGTCTCAGAAAACGATTCAAAACATCTTTGAAATCATCCAATTCAGACCCCTCGCCTGGGCTTACACAGTTCTGCTGGGCTAGCTACGCCCCTTCCCGTGACACTGTCGTGTACGTGGTGCTGAAATGACACAAAATAACAGCGGTGAAATACACTGTTAGGTAGTAGTGACAGTCTGGTCCCAATCGGGTTTTATTCTGGAGTGGACGACAGAGATAACTAACATCATCGGCTTTACAAAAAGTACAAATAAAAATAGGTTGATTGACAGCTTAATTGGCACGATATCAAACATTTGCGTACATTTCGAAATGTTGATTCCAAAACTAAAATTACTTTCAAACGGAGGAGACATCTCAACAGAAATTCAAAGTATTGACTGTTAGTGTTCCCTCCGTTTACTCATTATTTCATCAAATAATCATATAATTTTTTATTACTTAAAAAAATACAATTATATTCATCATACACAAGGCTAAATGCGAAACCTTAAATTCCTGAGATTTTTGTAATTTGTCAAAAGTCAGGGCCTCGTTCATGGATTTCCGATGAAACTCCGTTTTATATAACTTACATTTCACTTCCCTGTTTGACTACTTACATGTAGGTGTGTGCTAATGTTGACCAAAGCTTACTTTAATAGTATGCATAACGATTCTATAAAAATGTCTCAAATACCAGATAACTGCATGAATTGATAAAATTATGCATTGAAATCAAGAATATAGCTGCTCGGTTGTGTACATGCCGTAATGCTGATGTCACTTCTGGATCACGTGCATGACAGCACGTGATTGCAATGGCTTTGATATAGACAGAACTACTTTCGTTTGTCCAAAAAGAAATAGAAAATCAATATTATCACATCAGTTGAAGTAAAAAATAATATTCTGCGCACAAAACGACGTACAGAATTTATCATGTAACACTGAAATAATCCAATTATAAACGTAACAGCATATTAAAGACATCTCAGAGAAAAATTGTTTGTTGGCATTTTTCGAATGTCGAAAGGACAATAGAATACCACAGACTTATTCGATGTTCAAAGTTTTACAGAACCCGATTTTCACAATCTTATGGTCTCCCAACGCTCGAGTGACAGAACTCATCTCTACATTTAAAAATTGTATTTTTTACCAGGTTCAACTGTTCAAATGGCTTATACTATCAACCAGATAGATGTTGTTGTCATGGAAAATTTATTCAAAAGCATCGGATATGTCGAAGATATTCCACTAAATCATCTAATCAGTAATATTAGTCATATGTATTTCAGTTTGTATTCTATGGCTGATGAAAACATACTGTATCCAAGAGCAAAAATGATGGTTATTATTCATAAATCAATTCCATGGAAGTTATTATCGATGGCCAAACGAGCACTAGACTAGCCACTTAAAGTTTTCGAAGTGGTCTTTCGCGCGATAGCCAACAAATCATCACCATACACGACTATTGTAAAAATGTCATGTTACAAAATGAGAACAATGTCAACAACAAAAGAACTTCCACGTATAAGGACGAGCATTAAACGCACAGCTTTATATCGCACTAGAAAATGTAATAATTCCAAATGAGATCATTATGTTGACCATAAAATTTCTCCACACTGGTCTGGGACTACTTCTCATTTAAACTGGTCTGGGACTTCTCATGTAAACTGGTCTGGGACTACTTCTCATGTAAACTGGTCTGGGACTACTTCTCATGTTAACTGGTCCGGGACTACTTTTCATGTAAACTGGTCCGGGACTACTTCTCATGTAAACTGGTCCGGGACTACTTCTCATGTAAACTGGCCCGGGACTTCTTTTCATGTAAAGTGGTCCGGGAATACTTCTCATGTAAACTGGTCCGGGACTAATATTTCTCATGTAAACTGGCCAGGGACTTCTTTTCATATAAACTGGTCCGGGACTACTTCTCATGTAAACTGGCCCGGGACTTCTTTTCATGTAAAGTGGTCCGGGAATACTTCTCATGTAAACTGGTCCGGGACTACTTCTCATGTAAACTGGCCAGGGACTTCTTTTCATATAAACTGGTCCGGGACTACTTCTCATGTAAACTGGCCCGGGACTTCTTTACATGTAAACTGGTCCGGGACTACTTCTCATGTAAACTGGTCCGGGACTACTTCTCATGTAAACTGGCCCGGGACTTCTTTTCATATAAACTGGTCCGGGACTACTTCTCATGTAAACTGGCCCGGGACTTCTTTTCATGTAAACTGGTCCGGGACTACTTCTCATGTAAACTGGCCCGGGACTTCTTTTCATGTAAACTGGTCCGGGAATACTTCTCATGTAAACTGGTCCGGGACTAATATTTCTCATGTAAACTGGCCAGGGGCTTCTTTTCATATAAATTGGTCCGGGACTACTTCTCATGTAAACTGGTCCGGGACTACTATTCATGTAAACTGGTCCGGGACTACTTCTCATGTAAACTGGCCAGGGACTTCTTTTCATATAAACTGGTCTGGGACTACTTCTCATGTAAACTGGCCAGGGACTTCTTTTCATATAAACTGGTCCGGGACTACTTCTCATGTAAACTGGCCAGGGACTATTGCTCATTTTAATTGGTCCGGAACTACTTCTTATGTAAACTGGTCCGGAACTACTATTCATGTAAACTGGTCCGGGACTACTTCTCATGTAAACTGGTCCGGAACTACTACTCATGTAAACTGGTCCGGGACTACTACTCATGTAAACTGGCCCGGGACTACTTCTTATGTTAACTGGTCCGGGACTACTATTCATGTAAACTGGTCCGGGACTACTATTCATGTAAACTGGTCCGGGACTACTTCTCATGTAAACTGGTCTGGGGCTAATGCTCATGTAAACTGGTCCGGGAATACTTCTCATGTAAACTGGTCCGGGACTATTTCTCATGTAAACTGGCCAGGGACTATTGCTCATTTTAATTGGTCCGGAACTACTTCTTATGTTAACTGGTCCGGAACTACTGTTCATGTAAACTGGTCCGGGACTACTTCTCATGTAAACTGGTCTGGGGCTAATGCTCATGTAAACTGGTCCGGGAATACTTCTCATGTAAAATGGTCCGGGGCTACATCTCATGTAAACTGGCCCGGGACTTCTTTTCATATAAACTGGTCCAGGACTATTGCTCATTTTAACTGGTCCGGAACTATTTCTCATGTTAACTGGTCCGGGACTACTACTCATGTAAACTGGTCCGGAACTACTACTCATGAAAACTGGTCCGGGACTACTATTCATGTAAACTGGTCCGGGACTACTATTCATGTAAACTGGTCCGGAACTATTTCTCATGTTAACTAGTCCGGGAATACATCTCATGTAAACTGGTCTGGAGCTACTTTTCATGTTAACATGTCTGGGAGTACTTCTCATGGAAACTGATCTGGGACTACATCTAATGTAAACTGGTCCGGGACTACTTCTCATGTAAACTGGTCCGGGACTACTTCTCATGTAAACTGGCCCGGGACTTCTTTTCATGTAAACTGGTCTGGAACTACTTCTAATGTAAACTGGTCTGGGATTACTTCTCATGTCAGCTGGTCTGGGACTACTTCTTATGTAAACTGGTCTGGGATTACTTCTCATGGAAACTGGTCTGGGACTACTTCTAATGTAAACTGGTCTGGGATTACTTCTCATGGAAACTGGTCTGGGACTACTTCTTATGTAAACTGGTCTGGGATTACTTCTCATGGAAACTGGTCTGGGACTACTTCTCATGTAAACTGGTCCGGGACTACTTCTCATGTAAACTGGTCCGGGACTACTTCTTATGTAAACTGGTCTTGGACTACTTCTTATATTAACTGGTCTGGGACTACGTTTCATGTAAACTGGTCTGGCTCTACTTCTCATGTAAACTGGTCCGGGACTTTTTCTCATGTAAACATGGTCTGGGACTACTTCTCAGGTAAACTGGTCTGGGACTACTTCTCATGTAAACTGGTCCGGGACTTCTTCTCATGTACTTCTCATGTAAACTGGTCTGGGATTACTTCTCGTGGAAACTGGTCTGGGACTACTTCTAATGTAAACTGGTCTGGGACTACTTCTTATGTAAACTGGTCTGGGATTACTTCTCATGGAAACTGGTCTGGGACTACTTCTAATGTAAACTGGTCTGGGATTACTTCTCATGGAAACTGGTCTGGGTCTACTTCTTATGTAAACTGGTCTGGGATTACTTCTCATGGAAACTGGTCTGGGACTACTTCTAATGTAAACTGGTCTGGGATTACTTCTCATGGAAACTAGTCTGGGACTACTTCTCATGTAAACTGGTCCGGGACTACTTCTTATGTAAACTGGTCTTGGACTACTTCTTATATTAACTGGTCTGGGACTACGTCTCATGTAAACTGGTCTGGCTCTACTTCTCATGTCAGCTGGTCCGGAACTTTTTCTCATGTAAACATGTCTGGGACTACTTCTCATGTAAACTGGTCTGGGACTACTTCTTATGTAAACTGGTCTGGGATTACTTCTCATGGAAACTGGTCTGGGTCTACTTCTAATGTAAACTGGTCTGGGATTACTTCTATTGGAAACTGGTCTGGGACTACTTCTAATGTAAACTGGTCTGGGACTACTTCTCATGTAAACTGCTCCGGGGTAATTTCTCATATAAACTGGCCCAGGACTGTTGCTATATCTGGGACTGCTTATGTAAACTGACCAAGGAATATATCTCATGTAAACTGGTCAAGGACTACTGCTCACTTATACTGCTCCAGGACAATTTCTCATGTAAATTGACCCGGGACTTCTTCTCATGTAAACTGGCCCTTGGCTGCTCATGTAAACTGGCCCTTGACTTCTTTTCATGTAAACCTGTCCGTGACTACATCTTATGTAAATTATTCTTGAACTGATTCTCTTGTAAACGACTTAAAGTGGTCTGGGACTAATTAGATGCCCTGGTGATGGACTACTCAGGTAAACTGGTCAGGGAATACTTCGAGATTACTTCTCATTTAAACTGGTCTAGAGCTACTTTTCATGTAAAAATATCTGTGACTGCTTATGTAAACTGACCAAGGAATATATCTCATGTAAACTGGTCAAGGACTACTGCTCACTTATACTGCTCCAGGACAATTTCTCATGTAAATTGGCCCGGGACTTCTCATGTAAACTGGTCCGGGGCTACTTCTCAGGTAAACTGGTCCAAGACTACTTCACAGGTAAACTGGTCTGGGACTATTTCTCAAGTAAAGAAGTCCGGGACTACCTCTCCTGTAAACTAGTCCGTGACTTCTTCTCAGTTAAACTGTTCCGGGACTACTTCACAGGTAAACTAGTCCGGGACTACTTCTCATGTAAACTGGTCCGAGACTACGCCTCAGGTAAACTTTCCGGGACTACCTCTCATGTAAACTGGTCCGGGGCTATTTCTCAGGTAAACTGGTCCGCGACTTCTTCACAAGTATACTGGTCCGGGACTACTTCTCAAGTAAACTAGTCCGGGACTACCTTAAACTGGTCCGAGACTACGCATCAGGTAAATATTTGCGGGACTATTTTTCAAGTAAAAAAGTCCGGGACTACCTCTCATGTAACCTGGTTCGTTACTATTATTCATATAAACTGGTACGGGACTACTTCTCATGTAAACTGGTCCGGGACTACTTAGAACCTCTGGTCATTGACTACTCAGCTTCTCTTCTCCTTGACTACTTCTCTGTTTAACTGGTCTGGGACTACTAAGATGCCATGGTGATGGACTACTCAGATTATCTGGTTCAGGATTACTTCACAGGTAAACTGGTCCAGGACTACTGCTCATGTCAACTAGTCCAGGACTACTGCTCATGTTAGCTGTTCCGGGACTGCTTCTCGTGTAAACTGGTCCGGGACTACTTCTTAAGCAAACTGATTCGGGACTACTTCTTATGTTAAATGGTCCGAGACTACGCCTCATGTAAACTTTTTCCGGGACTATTTCTCAGTCTAACTCGTCTTGGACTACTAAGATCCTCTGGCCATGGACTTTTCAGATTCTCTTCTCCTTGACTTCTTCTCAAGTAAACTGGTCCGGTACTTCTTCTCATGTAAACTGGTCCGGGACTACTTCTCAGGTAAACAGGTCTGTGGCTGATTCTCAAGTAAACTTGTCCGGGACTACCACTCATTTAAACTGTTTCGGGACTACTTCTCATGTAAACTGGCCCAAGACTATTATTCATATAAACTGGTCCGGGGCTACTTCTCACGTAAACTTGTCTGGGACTACTTAGATCCTCTGGTCATGGACTACTTAGATCCTCTGGTCATGGACTACTTAGATCCTCTGGTCATGGACTACTCAGATTCTCTGGACTTGGATTACTTCAGAGGTAATCTGGTCCTGTATTTCTTCACATGTAAAGTGGTCCGGAACTATTTATAATGTAAACTAGTCCGGGACAACTTCGGGACTACTTCTCATGTAAACTAGTCTGGAACTACTGAGATCCCCTTGTCATGGACTATTATGATTCTTTGGTCCGGGACTACTTCTCATGTAAACTGGTCCGGGATTTCTTCTCGTGTAAACTTATCAAGGACTATACTTCACAAGTAAACTTGTCCGGGACTACCTCTTATTTAAACTGTTTCGGGACTACCTCTCATGTTAACTGGCTCGTGACTATTATTCATATAAACTGGCCCGGGACTACTTCTCACGTAAACTTGTCTGGAACTACTTAGATCCTCTGGTCATGGACTACTATGATTCTTTGGTCCGGAACTACATCTTATGTAAACTAGTCCTGGACTATTTCGGGACTACTTCTCATGTAAACTAGTCTGGCACTACTGAGATCCTCTTGTCATGGACTACTATGATTCTTTGGTCCGGAACTACATCTTATGTAAACTAGTCCTGGACTATTTCGGGACTACTTCTCATGTAAACTAGTCTGGCACTACTGAGATCCTCTTGTCATGGACTACTATGATTCTTTGGTCCGGGACTACTTCTCATGTAAACTGGTCCGGGACTATTTCGGGACTACTTCTCATGTAAACTGGTCCGGGACTATTTCGAGACTACTTCTCATGTAAACTAGTCTGGCACTACTGAGATCATCTTGTCATGGACCACTATGATTCTTTGGTCCGGAACTACTTCTCATGTAAGGGACTTCTTCTCATGTAAACTGGTCCGTGACTGCTTTGATCCTCTGATTTCTAAATCCTCAGATTCTTTTATTTTGGATCACTTCTGACGTAAACTGGTCCGGGACTACTTCTCATGTAAAGTGGCCCGTTAAAACGGTCGCTACAGAAAGGGGTCACTATATACAAGCGGTCGCTAGTGTAGGTTGGGCTGTTCTTATCTGAACCATTGCTTACATAAGTTAGAGCTTTTAAAAGATACACAGTAATTAACAATCATGTTTTTATGGAAAACCGTTTCGACCGACATTCTCCCGATAACTGGTCATGTGCCCTTGCACGTGCACTAGAGTTAATATTGTTGCACGTGTACAGGTGTACATTTCGGTCGGAAGTCGTAATAAAATTTATGAATTGACATGTAATAGCATTTGTTTAAAATGAAGTCGCCTTCTCCAACTTTCAGTTTAGATTTTATCTGTATATACCTAATTTGTGTATTAAAGTAATGAGGGTCTACGTGTGTACTTAATCACGCGATTCGTCTGCAATCAGATTTATGTTCCTGACATATAACTAAATATAGCTCACTAGTTTTTACCGGATAGCTACCTATACCGACTGATGTTTTGTGAAAAAGACATTTCAGTTTCGGTTATGAATTTCTTTCATGATTGAAAGGAGCTGGTCAAATGCATATATATTTACATATATCAAGCAAGTGTTCGAGCACACCGTAGACACGTGAGCATACATATATATATAATGTGACGTCACAGGATGTCAGCGACAGACACGTGAGGCAAAGCATGACCAAGGTTGTTGACAGTTACAACTACATTGTACTTGATATAAGCGGACGTATCGACTCTCTGTGCTAGCATGTAAACTCGGGTATAGCTCTCGATAAACCACATTTTCCAGCATGGATGATGAAAATAAATTGACATGTAAAAGAGTCAAGTTGGATCCGTCCGATCGGTAAGTGTTTGTTTGGATTTTGAAGCTAAACAGTTGGGAAGCTTGACTGTCTCGTCTGCTCGATGTGTACACTAGGCCTGTTTACAACTTATCTCTGCTTAGAACACTGGTTTTTGCATATCTATTGTAAAAGGTTTGATAAAGAATCATTTTTGATGTGTCTGTACAAGTGTTTTGCCTATTTTTGTTGTTGTCTTGCGGTAAAGAGCGAAAAGTAGGTCACATTTTGCGGCACGTGGACGGGCACCTGTTCTACGGTTGGAAATCTATTTTTAGAAAACTCGCCATAACACAGAAGAACTGTTTTAAAACACGTATTATTATAAAAAATGGTTTTATACAGGAACTACAATTTGTTTAAACAATAATGTTATATCGACATGCACCTATTAATACATATACAAACAAAATTGACAGTTACAGTAACTTGTAATTGTATATAGACCTATAATACGGAGTTTACTCAACTGATCCGAAATAAAGTATTATGTTTTCCTAAGACATGCAATATTAGATTAAATGCTGGTAATTTTGATATTCATTAGTTATGAATAAATAAAATTCACAGGTGGCATTTGATGTTGGATCAACATTGAAATGTCGTATTCTGATGATAAGGTTTGAAATGCATTATTTTATGTAACACTGATACTGTTTCCAGAGATGTCTATAACATTATACACGTCTCTGCTGTTTCATTCAAAAATGATCCTCAATATACATTGGATACAAAACATCAGCGGAATGTTTTGGATGAAATTGTGCCACACAACCCATCAAAAATGTTAAAATAATGCATTTCAGTCATTTTAGATAAGAATTCAAAGCTGCAAAGCACTGGTTCCTGAAAAAAATTGAGAAACAAATCATTTAAACTTTGATCCAACAAAATCACAGAAAGCTTTGAAATAAATTTCATTCTTTATTATGCTGACTGTCACGAGCATACATATTTAAGCAGCAGCTGATGGCAACATTGATGTTGTGCGGTGTTGACTGAATTTTTTTCATATGATGTCCTTGGAACACTTTCTGATAATATGGAAAGAAAAAAACATGTTAAAAACAAGGGAAAAGGTAGATATATTACTTGAGGTGGCATATTTGCAATTTTATAGTGGGTAGAATTTTTTCTCAGAGGAAGAATTAATTTACACATATTTCTGTTTAAACTACAGGCATTCAAGTATCAAAGCAAATATATAAATTAATTTTAATTGCAATTAGGGAATCAAACCAACATGCATCCATGGACAGCCCTGTCAAACAAGTTAATTTCACTATTAAGCTCACCTGGTTCATCCGTCATTGGTTGTCCATCCATCCATCCATCAATTCAACCAAATCGCAACTAGTCATGAATCACTGAGCAGATTTTGTCCAAATTTGGTCTTAAGGATGTTTTGGTGAATCATTTTTTTTATAAATTATGGGTCTAGATCTTGGCTCCCTTTGATGTGAAGGGCGGGGCCAAAAGAGGAAAAAGAGCAAATTCATTAAAATCCTACTCCTCCTGTGGGAATGATTTGATTTTACCCTAACTTGGTCTGAAGCTTCCTTAGTAAAAGGAAATCAACTTCATACAAACGACAGGCCTTGGCTCCCTTGGGTGGGAATGGCTAGGCCCAAAAGGGAACTAGAGCAATTAAAAAAATAAATCCTGTTCCTCTTTTAGGAATGGTTTGATCTTGTCCAAATTTGGTCTGAAGAATATTTGGATGTAGAGGAATCAGTTTTGTACAATTGTGGGTCTTGGCCCTGAAGGCAGGAGGGGAATATTCCTAATATGAGAAATAGGTTATGTCTTTGTAACAGTTAAGATCCCCACCTCATAACCATAGTGTTGCCCTCAATAAAGAGATGAAGCACAATCGTGATACAGGATTTATAGAGTATAGAAATAGATGTTGAAATGTCTCCAGCATTCTTGAATGAAGGGAAATCATTTTTGTATGAACAATGGATCTTGGCCCTTTGGGGTGGGACCAAATATTGGAAAGGTCTTAAGCATCCTTGATACAGGATTTATAGGGTATAGAAATAGATGTTGAAATGTCTCAAGCATTCTTGAATGAAGGGAAATCATTTTTGTATAAACAATGGATCTTGGCCCTTTGGGGTGGGACCAAATATTGGAAAGGTCTTAAGCATCCTTGATACAGGATTTATAGAATATAGAAATAGATGTTGAAATGTCTCCAGCATTCTTGAATGAAGGGAAATTTATTTTGTATAAACAATGGATCTTAGCCCCTTAGGGTGGGACCAAATATTGGAAAGGTCTGAAGCATCCTTGATACAGGATTTATAGAGTATAGAAATAGATGTTGAAATGTCTCAAGCATTCTTGAATGAAGGGAAATTTATTTTGTATAAACAATGGATCTGGGCCCCTTGGGGTGGGACCAAATATTGGAAAGGTCTTAAGCATCCTTGATACAGGATTTATAGAATATAGAAATAGATGTTGAAATGTCTCAAGCATTCTTGAATGAAGGGAAATTTATTTTGTATAAACAATGGATCTTAGCCCCTTAGGGTGGGACCAAATATTGGAAAGGTCTGAAGCATCCTTGATACAGGATTTATAGAGTATAGAAATAGATGTTGAAATGTCTCAAGCATTCTTGAATGAAGGGAAATTTATTTTGTATAAACAATGGATCTGGGCCCCTTGGGGTGGGACCAAATATTGGAAAGGTCTTAAGCATCCTTGATACAGGATTTATAGAATATAGAAATAGATGTTGAAATGTCTCAAGCATTCTTGAATGAAGGGAAATTAATTTTGTATAAACAATGGATCTGGGCCCCTTGGAGTCGGACCAGATATGGGAAAGGTCTTAAGCATCCTTGGGTGAAGAGTCTTTTAAATACTCTTCCTTTTAAATATGATAGTTTAAATGAAATTATTTCAGCAGACTAAACCAGGTGAATGATACAGGCCCAATGGGCCCCTTGTTTAGTGCACCCTTTTGATCTTTATTAAATACACTGGTTATATAGGATAGAGTAGATCAAACTTGGTCATGTGTTCTTCCAATTCAATTATTAAGGGATGTGTTAATTAGCCCCAAGATCATGACATATGCCTTTTTACTTCACCAAAAATAAAATTTCTTAATCAATTACATGTATTCTATACCACAAAAAAAATGATTAAATCATAACCCTCACATTTTCCTTCACATACTGCTTCTGGATCATGTTCAACATGATTGCACCATTAAACTCTACTTTTAACATGCCATCAATCAGATTGATACAATGTTAATTTTGATTTTTTTTGCCAGTCACCTGAATTTCTCCATTTCTCCTGAGGAGTGTGAAATGCTGTCAGTGAAGAAGCCAAAGATTCCAAGAGTAAGAATTACTCACTATTTGGAATAATTTAATGTTCTCTATATTTCGTGTAAAGTTGTTTTGTTATTGTGTTCTTTTTAGATATTACATCATATTTATCTGGAAAATGACCTATGTCTAGAAATAGGCCAACTCATATCTATTTTATTTTGGAGAATTGCCAGCAAATGCTCTTTCATTGTCTGGTAAATTGTCTTTTTATATAAGTCCCATGATGAAAGGTAACTATGCCAACTCTTTTACAAAGTTAGATTATACATATATATAGCTCATGTTGGTTTCAATTTGATCTTAGTTAAAGTGGATGATTTTGTTAACAAGTTTGTGTTTGCTACTAATTTAAGCATATATACAACTTTGGTAATGAGGCCCATGGCTTGGAATTAGAGATAAAAATGTGGGTTTATTTCTCTCCTGTGTACATAGTCATCTGAACCCAAATTTTAATGTTGGATAGGGAAAAAATATGAAAGTCCCATGGGTAATATTTTGCCCTTTACTCTATGGAGAATTTTTTTCTCTTTCTGAATTTTGACATAGTTGCTTCAAAACATATCTCTATATATAGGGTACTTGTATAAATATTGTATATCTTTCCAATTACTGTCTTAATAAAATTGGTCATTCTGTTTAATTTAGGACCCAATGTCACATAGGATTATTGAGAAGAGGAGGCGGGACAGAATGAACAACTGTCTTGCAGACCTCAGTCGACTGATACCTGCAAATTATTTAAAACAGGTACAGATATTAAAATTTAGATATTTTTCACTTCCTAGCCGACCTTTTTTCACCTCTGTTGAAGTTAAAGAAAACATCCTTTTTGTCTTTCACCTGTGTATGAAAATTTTAAACTTGAAGAGGTCCATTTAGATCACTGATTGATTTAAAGTCCCCCTCCTTGTTAATAAATTTGAGATCATTTGTTGGTTTATATTTTAATAATGACCGAAGTGTCTCTTAGAGACTTACGAGAAAAAAAATATTCAGAGAATCGACATTGAAATTGTAATATTTTCACTAGGTTAATGAAAAAGATCGACTTAGGACATGTATGTTATATTTTACAGGGACAAGGTCGTATTGAGAAGACAGAGATTATTGAAATGGCCACACGACACATCACCCATCTCCAGAATTTAAACAAATTGTTTGGTATGATTGAGATCTGGCTATCTATTAAGTTTTATTCATTTTATATTATTTTTAATAAGAAATGTAGAAAATATTTAATGGTTTTTCATTGAATGTTTTGTATATTTCAAGATTATTTCAGAATATCATTTTTTTCAGGATAGCAAAGCACAAGTGAAAAATATTGATAGATTCTGTCATGTACATTTGAAATATGCATGACATTTAAGGGAAAGCCATTAAGTTTTCTATTTATTACATTTTTTAAGGGGAAACAAATTTGAAAATTCTGTAAAAAAATATATTGTGATAATCTGATATCATATTACGGTAATGATGTACACTTGACAAGTACAGCACCATTTTGAATTGGATGGTACTTGTTTTGTTTTATCTCATTCCTTTTCAATACCACACTGAAATCAGTTTGATGTTATCTAATAGAAAAAAATTGCTATCAAATAAAAACTTGAATAAAAACTACCATGAACACAGCAAATGTATGGTAAAATAAACAGGTATCAACTAATTACTGCAAATTTTAATGCAGTAAAAAGAAAAAAAAGAAAGCACTATTCTGTTTGGATTATGATGGTTTATAAGAAAAAGTTCTAAATCATGAGTGATGATTAATTCAATTATAATTTCCGATATTTCACTGACAAAAATGTAATAAATACTGCTGTGGTATAGATTGCTTCTTGTTACCATTTTGCTGCCTAAAACTAATCAATTTTACTGCAAATACTAACATTTTAATACAGTAATCTAAACAATTTGCAACAGAAATCCATAATGATTTAGACAGATCGATGGAGGTTAGAACTTGACCATTTTCAAGGTCGCAAAAGCGATAGAGATATTACAGGTGAGTGATAAAAGCCTGTTGAGCTTTTTACTTTTGTTCGATCCCAAAGCTGAAGAGCAATTAATCCATCAAACATTTACAATTATTGAACTAATCAATATTTCTACTGAATGGGTATCAATGCAATTACCTTAATTTCAATTTTGTTTAAAAAAATTGATTTTGAATGAAACTAAAGGTTGAATGCATGGTCTTGACCAAGTATTGTTCTTTTTTCTTCTTATATCTATGGTAATTTATTTCAAATTTTAGTTTTGCAGAAGTGATTAATTGAAACTAAAAAGTAATTCTCTGGAAGTTTACAAACCTGTCCTGTCTGTTATTTTTGGCTTACAATGTATAAACCAAGAAGGGGCTGCAATAGCTCAAATCGAGTGTTGGCCCCTGCAACTTCAGATGACGATATGAGGTGCATGGTTCAGTGCTCCCTCAGAATGGCAGTTTGCATTTTTCTGGAAATTGAGAAATGAACTGGTCTGTGCTGTCATGGGCAAGAGATTTTACCTTTATTGCTCTTGATGGCATGTGATGGTCCTCCTTGTATGTAGTTCAGTGGGGTAGCCACCAGCTGCCACAAAGAGATCTCTATCTCAAAATGCCCCTGGTGGTTAGCGGGATGATAAGCCCAACTTACAAACAAAACTAGCAATTTAAACATGGTGTCCACATGGCAAGTCACCTTAAAATTGTATAAACTGAAATTCAAATACTCTAGAAGACTATAGAAGGAAACGTTATGGAAATGAGTTATTGCTACACCCAATTGTTATTTTTCAGATTAATTTAATGTCAGAGATGTGCTTCCTTTGATTTTAATGATTTTAGTATTTAATTCATTGCTACCCTTGGGTTTCATTGAAAGTTTTTAGGAAAGTTAAATAAATAACCTTAATCTGTTGTTTTGAACTTTAGACTTACATCCATGATTGGTATAGACTTACCACGTAATGTGAATTCAAAACCCCTTTTAAAGGTAATGTGAATTCAAAACCCCTTTTAAAGGTAATGTGAATTCAAAACCCCTTTTAAAGGTAATGTGAATTCAAAACCCCTTTTAAAGGTAATGTGAATTCAAAACCCCTTTTAAAGGTAATGTTCCCAAGTGTATTTTTATGATAAGCAGTCCAATTTCTTAAACATACATTCCTAACTCCCTAAAAATGTTGGCCAATGCTATTTTTATTCAAGTCAATTAAATCAATTGATTATATTCTTTGTATATCAGTTTGTTCAGTTTGGTGATCTTGATGGCCACCTTGACTTCTTGTTAGTTTGTCTGCCCTGAGGGAGCTTATGCTGTGGCGCAAAGTTCTTTTGTCTGTCAATTTTTTATTTATAAGACTTCTTCATGTAGTCCAGAATGGCTGAATGGATTTTAACAAAGTTTGAGGAGCAACCGAGGACATGGAATCTGAACGGAGGAATATAGGGCCGGCTCTATGAAATAGGTGTAAAGCTTTGAAAGGACCACGTCGGTAAAATCAATGCCTGCACCACAGCAGGGAGTCAATGTTGTATTTATGAATTTGAATCCCAACCTCTTTTTGGTGACAGACGTTGGACCAATAGGGGAAAAACTATAAATGTTGACAGTAAACGGTACCATTGTTATCATTAGTGTTTACTTGTTTCCCATACGTAGGATCAAGATGAAAATACAGCTTCTTGCCCTATTTGAAAACTTCTCTGTTACTTTCCTATGCAAATTGTTTGATTATTATAGTTGATTTTTTTTTTCTTCATACACAGTAAACTAATACAAAACAAATTTAGAAAAGTAATATACATACATGTATACAGAAAAGCTTTTAAAGATGTTAACCAATTACAGTGGTTATAATACATTTTGACATGATGGTACCCTTTACTTCAAAATAACTGCATGTCCTTATTGAATGAAATTAATTCAGATGTTTCATAATGTAATCCTGCATGAAACTGTTATTTGCATTGGTTATATATTAAGTTATAATCACATAGTTCTTTCTTTATGATTATAAGAAAAGTCGTTTATTAGATTAATCCTTAAAAGATGATCTTTGGACCAAGGAATATTGACATACACATCTGCAATAGGATGTTGATCTAGTGATGACAGAGAGGCAAGACTCTGAATCGGGATTCCATCTTTTCGTAATGCAGAGTTATCTGCTCCTTTGAGCAGGTATTGATTGTTTAGACATTTGTTTGCGAGTGTAATGTCATGGTGTGATTTTCTTAAGGAATCTAATAACTTAACGGTCAATACCTACTCATGAGGGCAGATAACTCTGTTTTACAAAAAGGCGGAATACATCTTTAAAAGATTACTTAAAGTGACTTAGTTTGAACCTGATCATTGTAAAAGAGTTTCCAAGTCAAAGTGTACTAGGTGTGGTTAATGTTGGGTTACAGTGAAATCACTAATTTTTGTTAGAGTTTTATTTTCATTCGTTTTGTAGGTACTCTTAATCATTGGTGTTTATATGTCATTCTAAAATTAGTTTCAGCAGATTTATTGATCTACATTTATCTACGAAATCAAGTGTATGGGAAATAGAATTTTTTGAGAAAAAAAATAACTGAAAATTGAACCCCAAAAAATACCCCATGTTTAGGTCACTTGAGATTAAGTCTCCTGATGACCTATTGCGATTGCCTTTTGTCTGGCGTCATGATAATAATCAAAGTTTTGATACATTGTTTGGCGGTAATCTTACTTTAGTGCATTTCATGCTGATGTTGTTACACTTAAATAAGATCACGCTAATTGATATAGTTATCATAGTGGGTACACTAATTCATCATTTTGCCTATCTGCCAAAAGTGATAATATGCTTAGATTTGATATTGTGCCAAAATAATGGTTTGCAAATTTGATATTGTGCCAAGATAAATAGGTTTGTAATATAAGAGTATATAGGGATATTAATGGAATTTTTAGCCCACCGTCATCATCCGTCGTCCCTCTGTTCATCCGTAAACAGTTTTTGTTAACATTATTTCTTGAAAAGTACTCGATGGATCTCTCTCAAATTTCATGTGTAGGTTTCCTTTGATCCCTAATTGTGCCCATTAGATTTTGGGACTGATAAAACAAAAAACCAAAATGGCTAACAGGGGCCATCTTTTTTTTTTTTTTTGATAAGTTTGTTATCGCTATTCTTGAGAAGTACTTGATTGATCTTTCTTAAATTTCATATATGTAGGTTTCTTTTGGTCCCTAGTTGTGCCTGTTCAATTTTGGGTTGATCAGAAAAACAAAAATGACCAACAGACGGCCATTTGTGATTTTGATTTTAAAAATTTGTTATCGTTAATTATTGAGAAGTACTTGATGGATCTTTCTTGAATTTCATATGTAGGTTCCCCTTGATCACTAGTAGTGCCTGTTTGATTTTAGGCCTGATCAGAAAAACAAAATGACTGACAGATTGCCATCTTTGATTTTGATTTTGAAAGTTTGTTACTGCTACTCCTTGAGAATTATTGCATAGATATTTCTTAGATTTCTTGTATAGGTTCCTCTTTGTCCCTATTTGTGCCTGTTTGATTTTGGGACTGATCAGAAGAAAAAAAAATGGCTGACAGGCAGCCATCTTGGATTTCACCAAGTAAAGATTATTATCCCTATTTCTTAAGAGGTACTGAATGGATCTCTATCAAATTTCCTGTGTATGTTTCCCTTGATCTAGTTATGCCTGTTTTAGGTACTGATAAGAAAAAAACAACAGGCGACCATATTGGATATGGCAGGTAAAGATTATCATCACCATTTTTGCAAAGGAATGTTCACATTTCTTATCATTAAGAGCAAACACATAGAAGAGAAGAGAAAAGAAGGGAAAAGATCCAACTTTCAAAGAGCAGATAAAGACTAAACAATGGTGGGCGCCAAGAACCCTATGGGATCTCTTATGTTTGTTTTCATACTTAAAATGTATGTTTTGTGTTGTTATTAAGTTTGTATTGAAAGTTGATGAAGAATTACATTTTACCATAAAAAGATATAAAAGAAGGGAAGCATGACAGGTTCAAACTCAAGTCACAAAAAAGATAAATTGACTTGAATTTCTATGGTCCCAGGATCAGATGTTTTCCCATTTTGATATCTCTGCTTGATATAAAGATTTTGTTATAGGGGAAAATGAAGATATGATGAGCCATGACAAAAAGCAGCAGTGTTGTAAGGGCAAGTTCTATCTGGGTTTCAAGGATTGCCAGGATGAAGTGATGCGATTCTTTGTGGAACAGGAAGGCTGGGAAGCCAATGATCCTCTGTGTTGTAAAATTATGTTACACCTAAGCCAAACAAGTAACAAGTTCATCAGTTCAGCTTCAGGTAGCTCACTTTTTACTGCATTAACCAGGCACTAATTCATTATATAATTTTACTGGATAGAATTGTTAAGGCATCTGACTATTCTTTATCACTAGCCCTTCACCTCTGGGTCATGAATTTGAGACTACATGGAGGAATTATTTTCATATGTTTCGAGTATGATATATCCCAGAATGAAGTGTTATAAAGTTTCCTCTTAAACTTTGACCTATTAACATGTTCACATGGGGTCAGATATTCATGAAATAAGCAAGGTTACTCCACTGCAGCAAATTCTTTAAAATTCTTCTTCTTTTTGGGATACCATGATTATGTCATCTTCTGGTAAGAGGCAAAATCTCCTGTATTTTCAATCAAACTTTTCTGTTGAAATATCATTGAGGATGGGGGAATTATTTCTTAAATTCAGAAAGTTGATACAACCCCTTACAGATCAAGGCGAGGGCAGGACCTCAGATGGGAATGTAAGAATTTGTTTCAAAATGCTTCTCCTTCATAATACCTTGGAAGATTTCAACCAAATTTGGCTTGAAGCATTACCAGGGAATTTCAAGGATATCAAACTTTCCTGAAGTGATCCAGAGATTGTCCTGACCAAATCTTATTTTTCCGCTTTAGTCCAAAATCCAACATAACTCATCTCAAATAGTCTGAACTTCTTCTCATGTTTCATTCACACCAATGATTTTTTTTAAAGAAAGAAAAAAGAGATAATTTGTTGTTATTTTTCAGCCAAATCAAAACTTTAACATGATAACCACAGTAGCCATTTTGTAATATGGTTGTGCAACTGTTTTCCATGCACGAAACCTACCATTTATGAATTTCTGATACTTTCAAGAAATGTTAAAAAATTGAATAGATCAGATTTGTCAGACCACCATCAGCAAATTCTGTGGTTTGTTCATCCATTCATAGGTTGTCAGATGACTGTTAAGGGCAATGGACCTGTTGTTAAACCAAAAAGTAATTTCTTCTGATTAAGCAAGCCAAGAAGCATGATATTTGGCTGATAGTTTCTTCATATGAATCCTGAATCAAATAACCTTGACACATATTTAAGGTCACAGGTGTCAAATTTGTCAAACCCTTTGTAGACTTCTTCTGATAAAATGAAAGTCCGAGAAGTAGAATGTTTGTTGGAAAGGGTTTTTAGGGTCAAAACCTATCAAATTTTGTAAAATCAAAAAAAGAACAAACAAAGTGATATTACTTTTCATCCAGGTCATCACTGCCACTGCAGTGTTAGAAAGTAAAGTTTTTTGTTGAAATTTGTTAAAAGATTGGGTAGATGAGCCCATTTTGAATGCCCCTGGTGAAAATCGCTTTTGATTTTGATGAACATTGAATACCAAGTGAGTGATGCAGGCCTAATGGGCCTCTTGTTCTTCTATTATTGTTAAACTTATGGAAAAGTTCTCTTTATAACCTTAATTTCCTGTTAAAATTTTTGTTTTTACCATTTATGGTCAGAAATATGATATAAAAGGAAAGAACAGGAAGTGCCATACTTGCATAAAAGAAATTAGTTTTTAGAAGTTGCTTAGAGTCTTCTAAAAAACATTTGATAAAGTTTATTGTTGTTCCAGGTAAAGCCACTGCCCCATGTGACATGGAGGATGTTATTGTCACTGATGAGTGTAGCAATCAAAGCTTTTCACTGCCAGATCAGAGCTCCTATATGACTGACTCTAATAAACATTCAAAGTCTTCAGAAAAGACTATTTCCAAACATGGGGATAATGTTGAAGATTATAGAATAGAATACCAACATCCAAACAAAAGCTTCAGGACATTACTTAAGCCTAAAGATTCTTGCTCGGATACTTCATATGATACTTTTGTGTCATATGATAGGGATTCAGGATGTCCATTGAGACGCGAGAATGATAGTTATGCCAGCAGTGAATTCAGCTCTGTAAGTAAAGTCACTACTGGTATTGACTCAGATCAAAGTGGCAGTAACGTGTACAAATTCAAACACAACATCACCAAACGCTTCTCCCAGGAAGAGAAGTACCATCATCCTACATCAGCCAGTGACACAAGCTCAAGAAGCTGGCACTCTGATGACAGCAGCAAATCGAAAAGGAAAACGCGTCACGAGTCACATAGCCCAAGCTCAGACGATACAAACTATCCACCTTCCAGCCACAGCTCGGATGGAATGACCAGGTGTAAAACAAGCCTAAAGATACCTGACACCAGTAACACTCCATTGCCAGCATTTGTACTTCATCCAAAGGGAACCCATTATATACCATTGTCAATCCATCCTTCTCATATTCAGAATATCTTTCCCAAAGAATCAAGTAGAGAGAATTCTGACACCAGCATTCCCGCCTTTCATCCCATTAGTATTCCAGTAAACTTTTCAGGGCCATGTGTTTCTATCACGAACCTGGACATAAAACCATCATGCTCTAGCAGCAGTGTAGAAATAGCAAAGGAACTCTCGGGCACAAACAGTGTATCTGTGATGTGTAATTGATTGAAGGTTCAGTATCCTTTTGGTTACTAATGACAGAAAGAATCTCAAATAGTGCTAAAGTTCAACTTCAGCTGACAAAGGTACTTCTATTATCACAAGTTAATGACATACCAGGAACCTTATACTGGTTAACAGATAATTACATACCAGGTTTCACCTGAGTTATATCTGTATGTGATTTTTTCATACATACCAGTCGTGAAATTGCTTACTTTGATCATGGTTGCCATTAATTTTTTTTTGACAAAATAAGACATGACAAATATATTAATTTGACACACAATTTTTTAATTTAGTTGATCATTATTTTTGTACAAATATTAATGCATTAAGTTGAAAATGTTAAGTTGCCTAGTTCATTTTATTGACGAAAACTTTGACATTTCTTAATGTGAAAAGTTTTTAACCAGGTTTCCTTATTTATGATATCTTTTCTGTATATGGGCTTTTGATACACAATTGTCATTACTTGTGTGATATAATGGTATTGTTAGTTTTTGTTGTGGACACATTTTAGTAATCATTTAACAAGTATATGGCATTGCCCAATGAAGAAAGAATGAATTGCTTAAAGGAAGATTCACATTGGTGTCTAGATGAAACACTTACAATTCAGTAGTATAGCCTTAACTCAGCGCCATTCACATAATCAAAACAGCCCTCGTATGTGCACGAAACAATCCAGTCATTTATACAACAGGTGTGTACACAAAAATACCGTCATTTAAAAAACAGGTGTGTACACACAAATAGTCATTTAAAAAACAGGTGTGTACACACAAATAGTCATTTATACAACAGGTGTGTACACAAAAATACAGTCATTTATACAACAGGTGTGTACACAAAAATACCATCATTTAAAAAACAGGTGTGTACACACAAGTACAGTCATTTATACTCCAGGTGTGTACACAAAAATACAGTTGTTTATAAAACAGATGTGTACACACAAATACAGTCATTTATAAAACAGGTGTGTACACAAAATACAGTCATTTATACAACAGGTGTGTACACAAAAATACAGTCATTTATAAAACAGGTGTGTGCACAAAAATACAGTCATTTATACAACAGGTGTGTACACAAAAATACCATCATTTAAAAAACAGGTGTGTACACACAAGTACAGTCATTTATACTCCAGGTGTGTACACAAAAATACAGTTGTTTATAAAACAGATGTGTACACACAAATACAGTCATTTATAAAACAGGTGTGTACACAAAAATACAGTCATTTATACAACAGGTGTGTACACAAAAATACCATCATTTAAAAAACAGGTGTGTACACACAAGTACAGTCATTTGTACTCCAGGTGTGTACACAAAAATACAGTTGTTTATAAAACAGATGTGTACACACAAATACAGTCATTTATAAAACAGGTGTGTACACAAAAATACAGTCATTTATACAACAGGTGTGTACACAAAAATACAGTCATTTATAAAACAGGTGTGTACACAAAAATACAGTCATTTATACAACAGGTGTGTACACAAAAATACCATCATTTAAAAAACAGGTGTGTACACACAAGTACAGTCATTTATACTCCAGGTGTGTACACAAAAATACAGTTGTTTATAAAACAGATGTGTACACACAAATACAGTCATTTATAAAACAGGTGTGTACACAAAAATACAGTCATTTATACAACAGGTGTGTACACAAAAATACCATCATTTAAAAAACAGGTGTTTACACACAAGTACAGTCAATTATACTCCAGGTGTGTACACAAAAATACAGTTGTTTATAAAACAGATGTGTACACACAAATACAGTCATTTATAAAACAGGTGTGTACACAAAAATACAGTCATTTATACAACAGGTGTGTACACAAAAATACAGTCATTTATAAAACAGGTGTGTACACAAAAATACAGTCATTTAAAAAACAGGTGTGTACACACAAATACACTCATTTATACAACAGGGGTGTACACAAAAATACAGTCATTTATACAACAGGGGTGTACACAAAAATACAGTTGTTTATAAAACAGGTGTGTACACAAAAAATACAATCGTTTATACAACAGGTGTGTACACAAAAATACAGTCGTTTATACAAAAATACTGTCATATTGTGCCTGCAAAAATAGTCATGGTGCATCCACATATTATTGTGTTCTTGAAACAGTAGTCAGAGTATGTCCACAGGAGGACAACTGGTTCCCACAGGAAGTATTTTATGTTGTTGTTCTTAATTTTGTTAAGTCCATTATTAGAAAGGGTATCAGATGTATAAGCATTTTACATGTCTGAACAAACCCTGTGGCACTGCGATATGAATCCACCACAACCTGTAATACAAATTGGTGTTTTAAGGAACATTAATGCTCGGTGTCTGTGATATTGTTTAATTGTTTGGTCATTCAGAGAGAGTGTGCTGTTATGATTGGTAATGTCTGTCTCCACATTGACTTTATTTTGATGGAGGAGGAATTACAAACACTACATATATGTGATAGATTTAACATTTATAAAATGTTATAAAATCTTGACATCATTCATCCGTCTGTTAGAAGTATTATCACATTGTTTCATTAAACATTTTAAGTTATGAATCATAATGAAAAAAATTACCTGTAGTAATTTGTATACATATCGTAAAACAGCATTTGTATTGAGATATAAGTATATTGGGTCAAACAGTCATATAACCAATTGTCAAAATCTTTTATCTGTCCTCATCCACTGTTTGTAAATTTTTTCACATTTTCAGCTTGAGTCCCAAAGGGATAAATATATGTACATATATATGAATAGTCTTTAAAATTCTGCAGTTGAAGGAATGCAACATCTAAAGAATATCAACACCTTATAGAATAAGAAATAAAAGTTATCACGTCCCTGCCTCCTTTATGTTTGATATCAAAGAAGGGAATCAAACTTTATTAGTTATATTGTTGTTATTTCATACTTCTATCACAATATCAACATAATGAACTCATAATTTGCTTATCAAATGTATTTGGCATGTTGTTTATTCTGATCAAGAAGTTGGGGCTATCCTATGATGAGGAAGTTAGGGGCTCTATCCTAAGATGAGGAAGTTAGGGGTTCTATCCTAAGATGAGGAAGTTAGGGACTCTATCCTAAGATGAGGAAGTTAGGGGTTCTATCCTAAGATGAGGAAGTTAGGGGCTCTATCCTAAGACGAGAAAGTTAGGGATTCTATCCTAAGATGAGGAAGTTAGGGGCTCTATCCTAAGATGAGGAAGTTAGGGGTCCCATCCTAAGATGAGGACTCTATCCTAAGATGAGGAAGTTAGGGGTTCTATCCTTAGATGAGGAAGTTAGGGACTCTATCCTAAGACGAGAAAGTTAGGGATTCTATCCTAAGATGAGGAAGTTAGGGGCTCTATCCTAAGACGAGGAAGTTAGGGACTCTATCCTAAGATGAGGAAGTGAGGAACTCTACTCTGTGATGAGGACGTTAGGGGTTCTATTCTCGGAAGACGATGACAGGTACTCTACCAGTAGATAAGAATGTCAGGAACTCTGCTCTAAGATGGGAAGGTTAGGGACTTTATTCTCAGATGAGGAACTAGGGACTCTTCCATAAGTGGGCGGAGTGATATGGCAAACAAGGGTAATCATCTGCCTTCTTTCCAATTCTAAAGTTATATTAACAAACAAAAACATAAAAGGGTTTTAAATTTTGCATTCTCTCATGACGTTTATTTGGTTAATATTTCCGTTTTTTTCAATATTTTTTTAGTAATCAAGTTCTCAGTTTGAATAATGAATGATAATTGATAACTTACTGCATGTGAAGTATCAACAGTTAAGTGTTGAATATTGGGCAGTTTGTTGGATTAGCAACTATTTCTTTCAGAACCATGGTTTGGAAGACATTGATAATGTCCAATAATGGGACCATACATCTGTCCTTCTATATTTTCCCCAAAGATTATCTTTGAACATAGAAATATGGAATTCCTGAAACATCAAATGGTTGAACTCTGTTACAAACAATAGTATTTGTAGATTGCTCAGTGAAACGAATTCCTGAAGCATCAAATGGTTGAACTCTGTTACAAACAATAGTATTTGCAGATTGCTCAGTGAATCGAATTCCTGAAGCATCAAATGGTTGAACTCTGTTACAAACAATAGTATTTGCAGATTGCTCAGTGAAACGAATTCCTGAAGCATCAAATGGTTGAACTCTGTTACAAACAATAGTATTTGCAGATTGCTCAGTGAAACGAATTCCTGAAGCATCAAATGGTTGAACTCTGTTACAAACAATAGTATTTGCAGATTGCTCAGTGAATCGAATTCCTGAAGCATCAAATGGTTGAACTCTGTTACAAACAATAGTATTTGTAGATTGCTCAGTGAATCGAGTTTCAAAAAGTTTTGAGGTTTAAGGTGACAAGGAGAGAATGTGAGGTCAGTTGTCAAAATTCATTATACTTCCAAAAGTTAATGATTCAAAGTGAATACTTTGATAATGTCATGTTTCTGTACAAGCTGGTGATGATCGTCCTCTCCATCTCTGTCCGATGTACTGTAAATTTGCTTAATTTAGTGCTGTTTTTTATCACATTTCACATGATTAATAATTACTCAATATAAACCATGTATAGAAGAGACAATTACTGCAAACATAGTTTAGCGTAATACTTTCAGCGAGAAAAGTACTAAAATATGATTATTGATAAAATTTGTACAGTATTTGGCTGTAGATTTTCCAACTGGAGATGTTTTTTTTGTGCTTGATGGAAAACAATATTTTGAAGGATCATGTATATAGGCTTTCAGGCTATCATGACTTCTAATGAGCTATAAGGCTATAGAAAAATTTGAATACAACTTCTGTTGATCTGTCATTAATTGTTAGTTGGAAGTCAGCTAACTGAACACTTTTATCACCTTGTTTTAAATTCAAAGTGATAGCTTTGTTTTTTTAACTCTCGACTGTTATGGGATATAATTTATATACAATGTTTAAACATCACCCACATGTCATTGTTCTAGTTTTTATAGTACTTTCATGATGTTTTAAGCCTGGACTTTATATTGTCGTTTGATGTAAAATGAAATATCCACTGTTACCAATCGGGGGATATATTACTGTTTGATGTTATGTATTGCTGGATAAAATTTGAAAAAAAAATGTCAGACCTTTGTAATTGTTTTAATTATTTAGAAATATCCACAATTTTCAAGTTTTTTAGTACCAAGTACCTGTAGATTTCTGCTCTGACATATGGCAAAATATCACTTAGTCATTACATGGTCCTTGTTGGTCACCAGAGTGAAAAGGTTTCTGAGAGACAATTAAAACTGGCTTCAGTATAAACTACATTTATAAAAATATATCTCCTCTCAAGGGGAAACACCCCCGGGGTCAATGAGATAGCAATTTTGGTAAAGCATCTTAAGACCTTTCCATCCATGAGCTTTTTAATATACAATATCTTGGTACTGAGAAGAGAATTGAAAAGTTCATTCAATTTAGACCATTTGCCTCCATGGACCAGCCCTGAGGATTCGATCAGGGTTTGTTTGTCTCAAACTACCATCCCAAAAGAAAAATTCTATTCGAAATAAAAAGTTTTCAATGGAAATTCCACAAAACATGCTCAAAACTAAGTGTTTCTAACAAAAATATAGTAAATTTTACGTCTTACCTAGTGGAGAATGTGATCATACATGCAACCAGAGTATGGAGACTAAGTAAATCCTGGAAAACATTGAATATGAGATATAGAACTAGGTGGTGACAATAAACATACAAGATTGAATACACGGGATAGAGAGATGACAGAGAATGGAGAGACAAGTTCCCACCACCACCTACTATATCCAGTTGGAAGAACATCTGACTTTCTCCTGCTGCCCCTATTACTTCACTTTACAATGGCCGATCTATTTTTTGTGTTTTGATATGATTAAACCAGGGTGATTAGAAAAAAAATTGGTGGAAAATGTTAATTAGTTAGAAAATAGTTAAATGCTTCACTTTACCATGGCCATGGTGAAGACATATTTTTTTGTTATTTACGTGTTTATTTGAATTGATAAGAGTGACTAGAAAACAAATTGGGTGAAAAATGTTGATTAGTAAGAAAAATAGAATATTGCTCACTTTACCATGGCCATGGTGAAGTGAACGCCCCCTGCCCCACCCAAAATTTCCTCACCCATGGCATCTTATTTGTTATTTATGTGTTAATTTGAATTGATAAGGGTGACAAGAAAAAAAAATGGATGAAAAAAGAAAATTAGTAAGAAAATAGTGAAATGCTTCACTTTACCATGGCCCAGCCCCACTCTAAAGGGCCGGTTTCCAAAACGGCCTCTTCTCTGATTCAAATTTCCTGTTGGTGGTGCATTGCCCATGCCGTTGTGGTCACATCTATAAATCTATAAAGTATAAAGATTTAGGTCACTTGGTTTGTTTTTTATGGCTCCTCAAAGTTTTACCTTTCAGAAGCTGTCTAAGTGTTGATAAAATGTGCATGTTATGTAAAATATTAATGAAAATCTAATTAAATGATAGTCACCGTAAAGAATACATTCATGGCATGATTGTGACAAAAAATCATGTTTCCATCGCGCCATTTGGCTGTTTTATGGAAGAAACAATCTCAAAAATGCCATTTTCGATGATAACATTTTAGACACAAAACTGTGTTTTTTAGAGAATACACCCTTTTATGGGCGTTGGATGCAAACCAATTTTTATCCTATTAAATAGTACGTAATATGCTAGTGATGAGAGGAAAAATCATCAAAATGTAAGTGGTGGAACATTTTCAAATGTTGGGTTAAATTAGCCTATGGTTGAATTGCCGATTTTCGACTTTCTTTAGATAATTAACAAAAAAACGAGAGTATCTGCTCGGTATGTTGAGAATATGTACACAGATATGAAAAAAGTGAGAGAAACACTTTTTCATAAAAAAAATCCAAGATGGCTACTTCACAAGTCCCCGTGGTTGAAGACATTGGCTGACAAATAGACAGAACAACAAACAAAACGTGTTCCTTATGATTTTGGTTGTTTTTCGCATTTACGGGAGTGTTCATAGCTACGGGCGATTGTATAATACCTATATTTATAAGTTTGGTTAGTCACATGGTAACGGGGATCTTTCATATCGGGCCCCAAACATACTTTCGACATATGCACTCCGTTGCCGCATGGAAAACTATTTCAAGTTTTGTCGGAATTTCTTTACCTGTGGTTGTAATGGTCGAGGGTTTTCCAGCGTCCTGTAATACCCAAGGTAGTACACTGGAGATGTGCGCACACATTCCCATCGTTCTCTCTCCAACTGGGCACTGGCAGTAGTAGTCCTTTATTGGGGCCTCAACATCGGGTGAAACGGTGAACCGTATCCAAACGTTATATTTCGTTTGGCTTTTGTGTCGAGAATGTATTTGACATCGGAGAAGGTCTGGGGAGTGCTGGTAAAGCCACACCTCATAGTCTCCGTCATCACTTAAATGTTCGGCGATGTAACCAGGAGCCAGAGATATCTGATACGTTCCACACGTAATGGTTCTCAAGTAATCAAGCTCGAGACGGGGAAACAGTACGGAAGATACATCCATCTTGACAAACTCGGACCTTGCCCGTCTAGATAGATCCGGATCTATCTTGACTCTCTGAGCTAAACCATTCGGTGTTGTCAAACGGTCCTTCATACGTTCAGCCATTAGCCTATCTTTGGCATCTCTCTCCGGAGATCTCTGGTAGATCGGTCCTCTAATACCATTCAGACAGGCTGTGACGGTTCGAAACAAAGCCTCAATGACATTGATAAAGCTGTTAGACACCAATTACGTTCGGAAGAACGTCCAGTGTTTCAGACGACCATGATAGGATTCCACAATCCACCTCGATTTGGTGATAGTTCTGTCAAGATTTGCTTGGACATCGGAATGTTGACTTTGACCGAGTTTCAGGTATGACGGCATGCTAGCATTGAGGCCAGAGGCTTCGAGAACTGGTAGGACATCTCTAAAACCTCGGTCAACGACAACGTTGTCGTCTGATTGTAGCCAAGTAACTAGCTTGTCCATGACTTTTTTTGTAATTGTAGCATCATTTTCGCTGCCAGTGAATGGTCCTACGGTGTCCAAAATGTAGCCATCTGGTAAGGCGATGCTCATGAATTTGACATAGTTTCTCTTCTTCTGGCCACAGTAGGACATTCTCTGGAGCTTGTGGTCGGAGCTTTTCTGGATATAAATATAGGTGCCATCTAATATGGCAGTGGCTTTATCTCCAAAAAATGCTTCTGAAAAGACAGTATTGTGCCCGAGCAATTGTTCTCTTGTCAAGTGATCCGGACCTAGAAATTGTGGGACTATCGATGTGTCTAATGCCTGTACTATGGAGTGGAAAGTTGTGTACACACTTGACTTGGAAATTCCAAAAAGAGAAGAACACTGACTCCAGGAAATGTCGGTTTTCAGTTTTACCCAGAACAGTAATAGAGCATTGTGTGTAGCCTTGGTATATATACCAGATGAAAGATATGGGGAACAGTGCGAGTGGATTTCGAGGAACTGATCTTTGGACCAACCTGTCCAGGCCATGCATGCCGAGTCATCAAGAGAAGAAAAGCTTATTGTAAACGCAGACTGGTTCTGTGAAAGGACGTGCGACACCTATAGGAGGTCATTAATGATTTCGGACGATTTTGATGGTAACTGAGATTCCAAGGAACCTCTACTAACAAGGACAACCCCTGTAGACGGATCCAAGTCGTTACCAATAAGGTGAATGGAGCAGACGCGGGATGAGGTGGGACACCACAGTTTGTGTGAATAGATCAGGTGATGTCTTGCACGTTTTGGTAAGACTGATGATATTGTTCCATTTTTTGTGTGAAGATGATCCATTCAAAAGATCATGAAGGGTCAGCAACGGCAGGATATGGAACGGGGAGTCGTCTTCTTCCTCTATTTCCTGGTTCTGCTCGGGTTCAGGTTCAGGCTGATTTTTGTTCAGAAGATACTTCATGTAGCACTTCTGGCAAATAAATGCTTGTTCCTTTGCTGACATCAATCATTGTTGCACCAGCGTATCTAGGAGCCATTTATATTGTGGACTATTTACATTGCGTGCACTTCTGTTCTTATTGCCACTACGTTTCTTGAAGTATACTTGACACTCTTCTCCAACACATTTACCCTCCATCTTGAAACAATAACGATTGGTTTATGAAGCGTCGATAAAGTAACAAAATAGCAAGCCACCGACGATTGCTGTAAACAGCTAATACTTAATAGTTTGGTACAATTATGCGAAAATGTGTGATAAATAACGAACAACTAATTACACAAAATAACAAGACAATATAATAAATCACATTCAATACCTCCAAGAAGCGCAGAATTGATTGATTACTTAGAACAAAATAAAGTATTTCATATGGAAATCTATTCGATGTGGCGTGGTCGGCACAAAGAAAGTGAGACAAGTCAGGGTCCCAACCCTGACAGAGCCACAACGCTTTGGAGATGGGACAATAAAACAAGGAAATTAAGACAAGAATAGCTAGCGTCGAGTGAATGACGTCGTAAACGTATAGACAAAGACAAGAAGATACGGATAAATGTACAAGGCCACACGAAAATTCAGAAGAGGACAGCTTGAGATAGAACAGTATTCATGTATCAGGGTGTCCTCAGTGTCAATCTTTATATCGATACTATTTATTTAGTCGTTACACATCATAAAACTGTCATGAAAATATCCGCTCTGATATTCAATATAAAAGTTTGTATATAATAAGCTATATAATAGGGTTTCAGACAAGGTTGTTACTCATTTCCCCTTTTCTTTCAATTTACAACCACATTCAGGCGGTGATATGAGAACGTTCCACCACATGGAATTAGCTGATTTTTGGTACACATATGAAACAAGTAAAGCTCTATCCGATTTTCTGATGGAAATTTGCATCCAAAACTATATAACGGGAGAAAATTGCAAATTTATGGCATTTTTCTTCATAATTGTGTCTCTGCAAGTGCATTTTCATCCGAGAATATATTTTTTTTTATGTTTCATGAATAAACACGATGTTTTGGAAATATTTATCAGAAGAAATTTATACTATGTTGCGAATTACAATTTCGAGATAACCTTCTTTTATTTA